AAACCCCCCTGTCGGCTATTCTTCAACATCCAAACCGTAGTTTGGATCCTACAGTTCTAAACAAGTATTACTTGGTCGAAATCTTTTGGTAATCGTTCACGGATTTTCTGGGAATAATTGGTCGTGTCGCTTATAATGCCAGTTAATCGTCGAAGGAGATCAGGCTCAAAGTTCGTCGATGTTAACAAAGAATCCCTTATTGTCAAGCAAGTGCCTTTTGACGTCCTTAAGGGTCATGGTTCAGACTTAAATAGGGTTAATTATCATGGCAGTGATTCTAGCCTTAATTCGATGTCAGTTGATGTAAAAAATCTTAGTTTAAGGGAGGAGCAAAGGCCTGAATTACTAGGAAAGAGCATGTCGCCTATAGTCCATGTTGTTGGCCCAGAGCTACCTAAGGTTGAACTGAGTTATTTTGATGGAGAGCCAAGAGGTTATTGGAAATTTATAAGGCAATTTGAGACGTATGTAGCGTCAAGAGTCACGGATGATAGCCAGCGCTTACTCTATTTGATACACTACTGTAAGGGCAAGGCTAAAACAGCTATTGAAGGTTGCGTCATGATGGAGGCATCCTCTGGCTATAAAAGAGCAAGGGAGATTTTAAAACGTTTTTTCGGACAGCCTCACGTAATTGCTCGAGAAACACTAGAGGACTTATTCAGTGCTGTAAATTTTGAGTATATTGACGGGGACCAACTATCAAATTTGGCTATTAAGATGGAAAACTGTGCCATGGTCTTGGAACAAATGAATTATACTTCTGATCTAAATTCCTTAGTTACCTTGGAAAGAATAGTGAGACTCTTGCCTCAACCTATGCAAGCCCAGTGGGCGGACTGGGTGGATAAATTGACTGAAGATAACAGGGAACCGACCTTCAACGAGGTCACTCAGTTTATCGCATCGCGTGCGAGAGTGGCTTGTAGTAGATTTGGACGGTTAGCAAACCGTTCTAGAAAAGGACATAACGTAAAGACGAACTGTCACGTGCAATCAGAGCAAGGGAATAGTTCGACAATGAAAACTAAATGTAGTATGTGTTCCTATGACCATGCCATTGATAAATGTCCACAGTTCTTAGCGCTTACAGTGCAAGACCGATGGTCTCACGCTAAATGCAAGGGTATCTGTTTCGTCTGTCTTAGACAAGGACATAAGGTTAATGAATGTAAGATGACAAGGCTCTGTAAGGTTGACAGTTGCGAGAGGAGACATCACGCTCTGCTGCACACTGACTCGACAAGCAACGTCGTAAATGATAAGCCATCATGCCCGGGATATAGGAAAAGAGTTGTTAATCATACCAGTAAGATACAGACATTAGAGAACGAAATACGTAAGCCTTATGACGTAGAGTCTTCAGATGCTTATTCAAGTGATAAATCATTATCAGTAGACGACAAGATGGCTATAAAGATTGTGGAAGGTGGCACGCGCTTCGGCAACGGTCATTTTGTAGTTTCTATACCTTGGAAAAAGAATCCAGATATGAAAGTGGATAACTATGAAGTAGCAAACAGTAGATTACAAAGTTTGAAGGGTATGTTGTCGAAGGATGTCAGTCTGCACATCAAGTATATCAAAAGTACTGAAAGTGATTTTACTAAGACTTATGCGGAGAGGGTCTTTGAAATATATCTGCAATCTTATTATCGCCCTCGATGGTATTTACCTCATCGTGCAGTATTAAACATGAAAAAACCAGATCTTAGAGTGGTCCTTGATTGTGCCGCCCAGTTTGCAGGGGTTCCCCCAAATGATATGATTTATCAAGAACCCGATACCACTGCTGAGTTAAGGTGTATATTAATAAGTTTTCGCAAGGAGGCAGTTGCAATCCCTGGAGATGTTGAAGAAATGTTCATGCAAGTGAAGGTCCCTGAGTCTGATCGAGGAGCTTCAGGTTTTCTGTGGTGGCAAGAGGGAGACATGTCGAGGGAATCATCCGAGTTTCAAATGACATCCCATCCATTTGATGCCACATCCTCGCCATTTTGCGCGAACCTTGCCCTGAATAAGACGGCCCAAATATTCTCTAACGGTTATGATGGTTATGTTGTAGATGATGTCAAGAATAATTTCTATGTTGATGATTGCTTGATATCCATTCCCACTTGTGATCAAGCAAAGAGTTTCGTTAAGCATATAAGTGAATTATTATGTAGAGGAAGTATACAAAAAATGACCGATCTTGAATCTTGATTCGAATGTCCTATTTTATTGCATGCCGAATTTTATATAACAATCACTGACTGTACGGAACCTACTCTTGACGATATTGAGTTTAGAAAAACTGCTGTGGTTAACTTGAGTAGTATAAAGTACAACAAGACACCTGTTCTCTCTTATTATTCCGAGTGGTTGAAATTAGTCAGAGCTGTAACCTGGTTTAGAAGGTTCATCGAATTCCTGATGGTACTTCGTTTACCGAGTTGTGAAGGATCCGTTCATCTAGGATGTTTAAAGGTCAAAGAGCTTGAGATTGCCAAGCGTAAGATTTTATTGATGGTCCAGAGAGAAGTGTATTGGGAATTACTTAGTGAATTTAAGAACAGTAGTAAAGTAGTAAGCCATGATGATCTGAAAGGTTTATCGTTGATGATGCTTGATGGGTTACTCTGCGTTGGAGGTCGACTAAGATACTCAGATTTCCCAAATGCTTTTAAACATCCAGTAATTTTACCCAGTCGACACTTAGTGACGGAAATGATAGTTAGACATTGTCATAAAGAACAAGGACACATAGGAAGATCATTAGAAAAAGGGTATGGATATGTGTTTACTTGTTTGCAAACATGGGCAGTACATATTGAAATGATGTGTAATTTGATTACTGATTCATTTTTAATGGCTCTATTACGTTTTATTGGAAGAAGAAGGAAACCTCCAGAGATTTACAGTGTCAGTGCGTCAAGCTTCGTGGGGACAGTTTCTGAGTTAAGCAAGTTTGTGCAGCAGTCGAATCAGAAGATAAACATTGAATTGTTAGCGAGGCCCTCATCCAACAGCATGGGTGGAATTTGGGGAAGAGTGATTAGGTCTATATCACGACTGTTATTGTTGATCACCAGAGAACAGGTGAAGCAGGTCTCCTTGAAGCTTTGGATTAGTCTTTGTTGTTATTAATGTAGTTAGGTCGAGTAGGCGTACTGTTGTAAGTCCTACTCGTTCCTATGCTGTGATATGTTATATAATGAACCATGACCGTAGGCGTCAAGGTAGCTTGTGTGGTATGGAGGGATTTTGGGGGCCGGTGTAAGATCCATTTTGAAGGTTTTATGTGTTGGTGAAAATCCCTCCATGTATATACTTGTACTTTATTCCTATTGATCGCATTAGTTGTACATTGTTGTATTTTGATTACATTTGAATTGTTAATATTTGTATTTTTGTTATAGTTTTTGTTTTTATTACGCATTCACTAAGTTTGTGTTTCTTCCTGAACTGCATCTGCGTTGTTTTACTTGACACTTGTTCTTGGCGGTAGCCATATTGATTTGTTCCTCCTGTTGTGTGTGATCTATCCAGCCAGGATAGAATAACGTTGATTTGTTGTGATTGATTTAATTGATTGAACAATCATTGGTTGAATAGCCGGGTGATAATATTTGTTTAGAACCGCTAGTTACCCGATTACTTGTTCTGATTTCGACGGGAAAGGGCGCGTGTCTAAACCCCCCTGTCGGCTATTCTTCAACATCCAAACCGTAGTTTGGATCCTACATTTACCAACGACAAACTCGTTGAGTCTAAACTTCGGGCTGGCCACGTCTTAGGGTCATCTCTACCCCTTTAGGGGGGGGTAGTGATCTGTAGCGGTAATAAAACTTCAAAATAAATAGCTCTGTTAGTTTTCGACATTGGATGCTGACCACATTAGTTTTAATGGACTCAACTAGCTGAAGGAGGTCAGTCATGCGTCCGCACCAGATCACGAGTGGGAACGCCGTGCGCAACAACCCCTGCAATCGCTAGCCAGATTAGGTCGGACAATCCCCAATATATTTATAGCCTATCAAATATAACTTCGAACCTCCTCGCTCCTGTCTTTTGATTTCACTTGTTGGGTACGCTTCATATTGAGTGTTACTGTTTAAAGCGTTGTCAAACTCCGAATACCTGTGGCATCTTTAGGTTAGACAAAGATATTACTTACCTGCATGCTAGAAATGCTTAAGTTCCTGCCTCGGGGGTCGTTTATCCGCTCCCAATAGACCCGAATACCTGTGGCATCTACATTACTCCATTCCGCCTCAGTTGATTAATAGTGCCCTGTGGTCAAATACACTTACAAAGGCGTTGTAGTGCAACTGGTTCTCAATTACACGATCTTCGGAACAGAACATACGATAACTGAGAAGATTTACATTCAACATCTAACACCACGGAGAAAGCCGGGTATGGTGGATATCGTAGCACAAAGTCAAGATGACATAGCTTGGCCATTCAGGCGTAGTCACTCTGAGACTTATTCCTCTTCATATTAGATATACCATTCTAACCCTAACCTAAACATGTCTTTCAGAAAAGTTAAACGTCATATTGCTGACTGTCACGATAAAACGAATCACTATAGACAGTGATATAACCTTCACTTTGGGATTGGGTCTATCATTTTAGCAGTCGAGATAAGTGTACTTATATCGAACTCGATTATAATCCCACAGCACCACTTCATGTTAAGAAACTAAATGAAACATGAAGAATACGTTGGAATTTTCCAAACGGCAGAATCTTTGGGCTGTAGAAGTTACCACCATAGAGGTCACTGACAATATATTTCATTGGGTTTTGCATAATTACGCTCGATATATATCATAGGTCTAATATGACTAGTGGAGCGCACTGTGATATCACTTTTCAACCACTCCTATTATTTCCCAACGTTTTTACCCTTAGGTTCCGAAGGTATGCAGAACGAATGACAACTCATTGTAGCCAACGATATTCTATTGGAACGGACAAATAGTTGGTTATCGCTTCCCAGAGAGTTGGAACTTTGAAATGTGGTGAGCGGGTTTAGGATAACTACGTTACGCCTAAGACTATGCTACAGGCCTACTATTCATGGGCAACCGGTTAGCTTGTTGTCGCCAAACATGGATAGAATTTCATGATGAAAGTGAAGAAGACTGCAAGAATCACCCATTACCCCGAGTTTTTGGTCACCAGAATAATGGTGCTGATTTCTCTGAAGAGGATAGTGGATTCAAAATTGAAAATCGTGAACTCTGTGTCAGTTGTACACGTATTAGCGTACCTGAGAAACCTTCTGTTGCGTATAATTTAACACAACACATAAGTGAACGGGAACCAGAAGGTTTGTGACCTATGGGTCACATTTATTATATTAATGCACCATAGATGTCGAGTTTGACCCATCACTTAATGCCTCACAACATACACTGTTCCTTTCCGGCATTACACCTGAATATCAGAGTAAGTGAGATACTTTTTTACACTAAGATCTAGTGGTAGGATTTTCCAGGGACCTGACGGTATGTTGTAAATTTATTTATGGCTTACGCAACATCAGCCCATGTCTAGGAAAGGGGCTCCTACAACCCTTTCTATTAAACGGTGGAGTTCTTGCAGTACTATATATGTTGGGGATGGCTATCTGGCTCGTCCTGATGTGAATGACATTGTATCTAGCGTGTCAGTGGCTATTCAACTTCTTATGTGCAGTGATCTAAACAAACATTTTTCAAAGCTGTTACATAAACCGGGTGTAAATTCATGTCCTGACTTCCTGCAGGATATGTATGAAGAGGTGTATAGAAATTTTGATGAACGAGTCTACCCCATTGAGGTAAGTCTAAAAGGTCTGTCTGAATTATTTCAAAGTAAATGTGTTCAACTTCATCCAATTCCCCTTCCCATTTAAACTAGTAATTACCAGGGAAGGTAAGAAGCTCTGCAATATTTTGGTGGTAAATGTTACATAAGTTTTTGTTGCTTTGTAAGTGGCCGTTTATGGTACTATTGAAAAATCTTATGACACGTTAATAAACAAGGTAACTGAAAATGGGTCTTTGTGTAAATGTTTTTTAGCCATTCAGATTGTCGGAAAATTAGCGGCGCTTAATACTCAAGAACATATTTTTGTATTTTATGACGAATCACAATTTGAGGGCTGGTGACGCATGCTCTCTCAAACCGTTGTAATTGAAAAGCTCTCATCTGACTCAGCGGTTGTAGTGAATTTTCAGATTGCTTAGTTGTCTCGGAAAACTGACTGCACTTGGAATTTCTTATTGGCTTAACTATTTTGGTTTAATTCAGTGGGTCTAGTTTCGATAGTGCCATACCTTGTTATACAGAATAAGTAATACTCATAACCTATTCCTTACATGTGTAGACTGGTTTTTTATGGCTTCTCACTCGTAATACACATAAATACTATTTTAATATTCCATTCTAAGTGTCGTTCATATTCATAATTATGTCAGTAATTCGTCCTGTTTTTAACCGATAGTCATCCATCATTTTCCTCCCCCAGACTCAGTTTTCAAGTATTACCATTGGTCTTAGTCGTTTATTCATTTGCCGTGTTTGTATTTCAGTCTCTTATATTCCTACCGCAAGCCCGATTTAGACAAGGTTTATATACACTGCTTTGACTCATTTATAAAAACGATGTAAACGTAAAATCGCCTTGGGAATTAAGGTTTATTGGTGGCACTGATTAATCTCCATTACATGTGTCCATCGACCTTAGAAAATTTTTTAAAACACAAACCTTAATTTATAAACTAGCTGAAAATCCACGTCACATCCAGGGTCAGTTAATTTCTTGTATTTGTAGAAATATAGGCTTTCCCAACTTAAAGATCTTCATTACTCTTTAGAATCCGGTAACCTATAGTTCTATCCGTTATTACTAGAGATTTTCATTTTCAAAGGAGTCAGAAGAAACGAAACAAAATTGATCTTACTGACGTTTCGCTACTCAATACTAATAGCTTTACCAAAGTATTGTAGATCACGATGTACAAAAACTGAAGTTTATCTATGGTAACTCGGTTGAAATGCTTCTGTACGAAGCAATTCTGTGTTGTCGAGTGAATAAATTGAAAAAAACCAACGAGTTTATAAGCTGGTACATTTAACAAGTGTATGAATTATAAGAATTGCATGTAGTTGTGTGATACGGTTTTCGTATCACATCTGTGTTGACAATCCTAATTTGTGGGAAGAGAGTGTTAGAACCAGGAAAAATTTCGCCTTAGCCCCTCATTTCTATCCAGACAATTTAAATTCCACTTGATATTAAGTGTTTCTAATCCATGATTTTGTTTATGTCTTAAAGTCCATGCAAATTACTTTAATATTATTTGTTGACCTAATATTAAATGTTTATGTAAGACCGGAAATTCATTAAGTTTTTTAATTTCATTTGGATTTCTCGGTGATCAGATAGAAGCTCATCGATGTTCATGCGTTCCTATATTGATTTCTCAAGCTTTTTAATGTGTACAGGATCACATTTTGAATGTGCCATTTTTTTGATAATTAAATCATGAATCTTCCGGTGTTTTATCTTATGCATGAACTAAATTGCTTTGTAGTGTTTGATGTGGTAGAGAGTACCCTGGTCTTACTCGTCTAATCTCATCTGTGTCTGATCTTATAGAGTGACGATTGTTGTAGTCCATGGTTTCGGAGTACTTTTCAATCACGTTTAATAGCGAGGCGTTAGCAAAAAAAAATCTACTTGTTTTTTTCACTCACTGGGAAATACTGGATTTTAAAAGTGATGAATATCACTTACCTAATGGCCAGGTTTTTTAAACCGTTAGATCTGAAATCGATCGGGATATTTATACTATAGAAATGTCGTTGGTTTTTATAAGAATATGTTAGTCAATAAATTTGAATGTAGTAGCTAGATGTTTAAAATCAAACGTCTATGCAATTCACATAATCTTTTTGCAGTTTACTAAAATCTCACTATTGTAGGTCCCGTCCGTAGCTGCTACATTGGCGTGGTGGTCGGGCTTGCCTGTCGTGATGACTTAACCAAGCTATATTGGCTGGAACATATGTTCCTGTAGGTTCTACCATGTCAGGCAGGTCGATTGGAGAACGGTAAGACTAAAAGCAGCAACTCAAGGTCTGAGGGCGAAGTCGTAATGCTGACTGTAGAGAGGTGTGACAGCAGTAAGGTGTTTCCCTCGGACAACCAGCATCTGCAGCGATGCTGCCTTCTTACAAGGAAGGAAGGGGTTAGAAAAGGTTGACCGTAAAGATGTCATACCTCACCTTACCTGACGGATTTCCGTCTCCGGCGGTAAGGCCCTTTGAAGAACGGAGCTAACACGTTAAAAATCTCCTACAGAAAGGCCGTGCGCGACCGGCCTCGAGCAGTTGTCCCTTGGACTCTGAGGTCACGCTCCCAGGTCGTTAAGACGAACACTAATCCAACTTTCTTTCCAGGTTCCTCAGGAAATACCCTTCCACGATGTGGGCAGCCGGGAAGTGATATCAGCCCTCAGGCACGTAACAACACGCGAGACCAAGTTGGTCACATTCGAATCATTCCTACGCCTCCTAATAACTCTCTTATCTCCACGACTAACCCTTCTCACGTCCATTTATCGCCTTGCACCGCTGGTGCGAACGATTCGAGTACGCGGAACGTTATTCCTGGTCTCCTGAAACCACGTTCCAAAATACATCTAGGAGCTTTTAACGTTCGAGTATTGTGCCAAATTGGACATCAGGCTTCCTTAGCTAGAACTTTAGAATCTCGTGCCATCGATGTGTACTGCGTCTCCGAAACGCGCATACAGGATCCGAGTAGCGTCATTCATTTGACCTCACCATGTCAAAATATAGAACCAATTCGATTCACTGTTCGTGTATTTGGGAGCATTGAGTCCTAGGGCAGAACTAGTTCTCTTAGACTGGATCCCAGTAGACATTTGTTTGTGCACTGTCCGACTAAACGGAACAGTAAGGACTCGGAAAGATGGGGACACTTGTCGTTGCCTCTTCGTCGTTTCTGCCTATTCTCCCACTGACTGCATCGCAGATGATGTAAAAGATGAGTTTTACAGAAAACTCTCCGACCTTCTCCGAAATGCTAGGCGCTCGGATGTAGTAATAATGGCCGGTGACTTTAGTGCTCAAGTAGGTAAACTAAGCGAAAGGGAAAGACACCTGGGTGGATCTTATGGTGTCATGGCTAAAAGAACAGATAATGTCGACTGTCTGTTGCAGCTATGCTCAGATAACCGCCTGGTTCTTGCTAATACGGAAAGACAACCCATTGTGTCATTGAATAAGAAAAAGAGAATTCAGCGAAGAGAATTTTCTTTTCGACGAAATCATTTACTTAAGCTGTACGTTCTTATACAATTTCTCCATATAACTATATATACGAACGTGCAGCTTAAGTAAATGATTTTGTCGAAAAGAAAAATTTCTTCGCTGAATTCTCTTTTTCATAAGGAAAAACATCTTTTGACATGGCGACCCTCGAATTCGTCCCAACGTTGGACCCAAATAGATCACATCCCTACCAGCCACTGTGAAGTGTGATGGATAAACGAACTCATGAATGATAAAGTGAAACGCCTATTAACTTTCTTTGACCTTGTATGACTATGTCTTGCTTATTCACCAATCACAATTTTTATGTTCATTATAAAACAATATTCGCCTTGTTGACTTATTTTTCCTATCATCTAGTTACTATTCGGTATGTTATTTATGTCTCTGTTTTTCCCTTTGTAAATAAACTGTACTGTTTATTTTGTACACTATATATATTGGCGCTCTCTTGTACGAATATTCATGTGTTCAAATAAATAAATAATAAACACTAACGGTGTTAATTTATGATTTAGAAACAGATAAGGTTTATCAAACCAAATAGCTTACTTTTTCTGACTTGGGCTAAACCAATGCTCTGTGCTCGACAGTCTAGAGAATAGCTTAGAGTTACACCTGTAGGAAATTGCTTCCTACAGCCACCGATGGAAGGGCTCGATAGAAGACTGTCGCTCGTTCTGGAACACATGCTTATATTCAGATCATGCTCTAGTGCTAGCGCGTGTTTGTCTGCGTCTCATTGGATGTAGGAAAGACGCTTCAAGAATACCTCTTAGGATCCTACTTAATGATAGCCAAGCTAAGAATATATTCCAAATATCTTAACATAATGTAAAATTACCTGCATATTATCATTCTTGCACCTATCTTATTATACATTAATGACTGTTTTCGTTTGCTTTTTGTTTAGCACCTCGTGTATGATGAAGATGCAAATACCAGTACTATAAATGATTGGAAATCTTCAACAGCCTATCATATTCGACAGTTTCTGCGTCGTCTTTTCAGCACAGCCCTATTGGGACCCGAATGTGCTATTGTAGCCCTTGTAGGTGACTGCTTTAACTTCGGAAACGCTTTTTATGTAGTAAATGTACATTCATTCTCGCATGAAGATTTCGGCTTTTATCAGACCTAATATTTCGGATAGTACTGAAGTCCCATAGATCGATTTTTCAATGTCAAAGCTTTCATTGGTTTTTAGACAGGATCAGTATCAACTTACAGAAGTTAACATTTTAATGCTTTTATGCATAGTTGAATACTCACTCGTCATTTGTTTACCTATATATAAATAGTTTTCCATACAGATTTTATTACTTTTTATAATGTACTGAAAGTTGCAGTACACTCAAAGCAACAACTTCAAAAGTCGATCTAAGCACGACGTCATCATATTTGAGTTAGGAGCATGTACTACCTTTCGTTTCCTAGGTACTGATTACGTCAGACTCAAGCACTCGATAATAGGATGTTGAATAGAAAGTTTAAATTGTTATTGCACGTGAAATGTGTAGATACAAGTTTATTGCTTTCGTCGAGTTTTATTTTAGCTTAGTATGATCTGGATTTTCATAAATTAGTACCTAGTTTCTTCAGTAAAATATTGAGTATTTCTGGTTTTATATGAAGGCTGACACTATAATCTTTATCTTTTTCACTTTATTTGCTTCAGATGTGAGGCACTAGTCATTACCAGATGTCCAGATAAAAATGGGATTAATATGCTTACTTGGCTTCAAGATATAACATTCTTTTTATTTCTTTTAACTGTCTTTGATTCAAGTATTTTTATATTTTCATAAACATGCACTCTGTTCTAGAATATTTTGTCACAAATATTTTATAGTCTTTTAGTTTATATCTGAGGAACGACTTGATAAATTTCATCAGTTCATTTGTTTTTGTCATTCACACCATGACTGTTTGGATAGTTAAAATATAATAATTAACATTATTTAAATTTAAGAATTAAAACCTTAGCTTTATGACTATTATAACCATTCTTATTTTTATTTAATTAGATATTTCTTGAACGACTTATACTTGGAGCCGAAGTGGCTATGACATCATGGACATGGCGTCGTCAACTTTTAGCTTGTGTTCTTCTTGCTAGCAAAGTTTTAGATGATCAGGCTGTATGGAATATCGACTATTGCCAAATTCTCCGGGATATCCATGTTGAGGATTTGTAAGTTCAGTAATATGGAAGGTGATCATATTAAATTAGTAGTTCTAAATCCCACAGTTCTGACATTTTAAAATCTTTCCTTTCAGTATCAAATGTATTATAATTTTTGGTAGGGACTTTATCAGTATTCCAAATGCCTCTATAATGAACCCTTACTTATCATCGTCGTCCTTGTCTATATATGCCTTCGTGTTAAATTATGTTTATGCGACAGTGTATTAACTTTAGCTAGAATTAATTATTATGTTTAAGGTAACTTACCGAATAAATTTATGTTCACAGCATTGATTCACACTGATTATGTGGAGGTTAGTGATATTACTCGGCTACTTAAAATGGAGCAAGCGTAGCGCTGTTAGAACTTGCTACCTAGCAGTTGAAAATAGAGCGCTTCAACCACTAAGCGACCACTTAGTCTGTCGTAATTGTCATAGCATTGTAATTGTTTAGCATTAAGACTAAAAACTGGATATATAGATACATTCTACAATAAAAACATTGTTTTGGAATACAGATTTCCCTATATTCTCTTAGTGTAGTTGGATCTGGATGTATCTGACTAATTCTGTTGATTTAGTTTATTTTTATTCATTTCCCTTTTCTGTCTATTTAAACATTCAACCACTCGATATCAAAACTTAGTCTTTAGGTCCTCGAGTCACTTACAGTAGTGGTTATATTGTAACGGTATTTGTATAATTTCATCAGCACCAGACTAGAAAAATATGGAGTTGACTACTTATCAACGATCAATTAGTTTAAATATTTCAACCTTAAAGGAAGTCAATCACAACCTGAATAGCTCAAGGGTAACGTATATTAATGATAACAGATGATATGGTCTCAAATTTCGTAGAAAGTATCAAATAACTCCAGATTGACAATACTTCTTGATGGGTGACAACTGGCCCTTTATCTACACTTAAGGTTTCCCCTTGACTACCTTCAAATAACTAACAAAAGCTTACTACACTCGACCCCGAATCATTTAGACTAATGATCACATTGGAACTTGACCGGCAGATTTCAATCAGGATTAAGGACTAGGCGAAACATGACATTAGTTACCACTTGGTAATCATTCACTGTAGAACTTACATAGCTTGTATCGTTGCTCCTTTAAGAATGGCATCAAACCTTTCTATTTTTTCCATTGTATACATTACTTGATATTTATATACACTTAACAGAACTTACAGAGTAGTACATGGCCGTAAAAATTGAGGTTGGATGTTACAGACACTAATGCAGAGGAGATATTGATACGAAGGCAGTCCCTAACTCGCACATTCGTATCCGTGCACAAAAAATGTGAAAAGCTGTCTTTTCTGGAGAACTTATACTGTGCTAGAAGATGCTAAACCTTGTTACAAAATTATCCTATACCAAGTGAATGATAAGGACTGAAAAATATGCTTTAAGAAACAGTTATATTCTTATAGATGAACTTTTCAGAGTCCTATGAGGTCACTTTTTCTGAAGGTTGTAGTTTTCATTAATTCAAATGTCCAAGATTGTATATTTTTACTTACTGATTTAGAAAGTTCTTGCAACTAAAATCATCTCATTTAAATATTTAAAAACAGGAATGCTTTGGAACGACACACATTAAGACTGTTACGGTTTAATATCAATGTACCATTTGGAGTATATGCCAGATATTATTTTGACTTGTTAACCGTTGGGGAGAGCGCTGGAGTCGCAAATCAAGCTGTTAAACGAAAACGCTTAACTCCTGAAAGAGCACGCAACTTCCGAATATTACCTACTAATTTGGAAATATGTACATCGGACAAAACATTATTAGATAGAGGATTTCTTTTTGACTTACCTTCTTTCACAAAATCAGAAGTATTGTGCAATAAGAAAGAGAAACAAACGCGTATTACTATTCAGAAATCAACAGAAGTTAAATGCTACAAAGACGGTAATCATAAAAAGTTCATTAAAACTCCTTTTTTAAGTCGAAATCAGGCAACTGACCATGAAATTAACTTGTCCAACCCAAAGTTTGATCTTATGCTTGATCATGTAACAGTTCCTGTTGATATTAATTATCAGTCTTTCAATAATGTAATTTCCGATGAATCGTTGGTTCCAATCCACCTAGATGAAGAAACCGATTTTGTAAATTCTACTCCCCCAACTTTTTCAAAGTTAAGAGATTTTACTTGTCAGTCGAAACAATCAAAGACAAAGTACTCTTACACAGACCAAGAGCGTTCTAACCAGTTTCATCCCTTATTATTATCATCATCTTTGAATTATCAAAAAGAAACAGTTCCTTGCACGAAGCTTCTGATCAACTCCTCCTGTAAGCCTTTCCAAACGTCAGCTTGTGTTCGGAATTTTAATCCACCTTGTTCCTTAAATGAAGCAACAGGTGTAGATCCCAATAATGTAACTGATTCTCGTATGGGAACAGAGTTTATGCGATCTCTTATGGGTGGCGATGTAGCTTATTCCTTATTACGCGATTCTGGATTATATTGATTAGCTAAGGTTTAATATATTTGCTTTTAATATTATTTGTGCTATTGTTATTAACGCTTATAGTGAGGAACTTTCTACTAAAATTCTGGCTATTTTGTATTTGTGTGCATTTATTTATTTGCCTTTATCACTAAAACTACTTCTATTTTTACTCAGTTTTATTTTTATTTCATACTGTTTTCTTAACATGCCATTATTAATAATTTCATTCTTCCCATATGGATGTTAAACATTTTTGAGTCTCTTAATCAAATTCCCCATATATATTTACTGTCAATCTAGTCTCTTCTGTATATTCAACAATCTGCAATATTCGAATACAACGATTGTGTTTCCATTACGATTATTAGCAGTAGTATTAGTGACAGCAATTTTATAACTCTACTATAAGTTGGTATTTTCTTATGTTTCATTTTGTGAGTTTTTCGTACGATGGTTATATATATATATATACTTTATAAAGAATTGTATGTTTAGTATTTTAGATTCCTCTCATTCGTTTACTACGTATTTACACATGTATAATTGTTGTATTTTCCTCAGATAAGTATTCCTTCTTGTATTTATCATTTGACAGATATATGAATAAATCAAGTTTATTATAGGTATCATATTTATACAGGAAATGATTAACAATGTACATTTTTTGATTAAATAAAAAATAAACATGTGTACGATTTTTAGCTATCAGCAATAGTTTTTATGAGCGTTACTACTTGGATTATATCTACTAACTGCATCACTCTTCAGTAATCACCGATGTTTGGACGTATCTCTTACTAGTGAGTAAAGTTAATACAAGAAACAGTGGATTTTTCACCGCTCCACAGGCCTGGCGTTTGTTAGTCAACCGAAGGACGAGTTTAATATACAACAGTGCACTTCACATTACTTTACAGCTGTAAAATATTGTCTGAAGATTCACGATACTGCCCAACATAGTGGTAATTGAGATACGTTCTGAGACTTCCTGGTTCTAGATGTTCAGTCATATCACTGGAAGTCTATCACGGTCCTGTTAATTTTTTTATCCGCTTATAAGCCTTTAGCTTTGTGTAATTCTGATTTCTCACTAACATTCGTCCGTCAAACCTGTACTATAAATGTTTGAGTTTTACTATAATTCAGGTCTTGATAAACCATCCTTTGGTCTTCATCTTATTATCTTTCACTATCCCAATCTCTAAAAAGTTACATTTACCAAACCTGTTTTATGATTCCACTTTGAGTCTTCACAAGCCAACAACCTATTATATTACTTAATTACACCTGTTACTCCCAACGGAGCATAGGCCGCCGACCAGCATTCTCCAACCCACTCTGTCCCGGGTCTTCTTTTCTAGTTCCATCCAATTGTTATTCATTTTTCTCATGTCCGTCTACATTTCTCGGCGTAATGTGTTATTTGGTCTTCCTGTTCTCACTTACCATTGAGGATTCCAAGTGAGAGCATACCTTGTGACGCAGTTGGGTGCTTTCCTCAATGTTTACCCTATCCACTTCCAGCGCTTCTTCCTGATTTCTTCTTCCGTTGGAATCTGGTTTGTTCTCTCCCATATTAGGTTGTTGTTGACAGTGTCCGACCAATGAGTCAGAAGTATTTTGTGTAGACAACTGTTAATGAACACTTGTATCTTCTGGATGATGACCTTCGTAGTTCTCCAAGTTTCCGCCCCATACATTAGAATTGTCTTAACATTTTTATTGAAATTTCTGACCTTGGTGTTGGTTGACAATTGCTTTGAGTTCCAGATGTTCTTCTTGTGAATATGCTGCTCTTGCTTTACCGATCCGCGCCATCACATCTGCACCAGATCCACCGTGTTAATCAATGATGCTGCCCAAATATGTAAAGGTTTTTACATCTTCCAAATCTTCTCCGTCAATTGTGATTGGATTGGTGCATGCTGTGTTGAATCGGAGAATCTTGCTTTTCCCTTTGTGTATATTGAGACCTACTGCTGCTACACTGGTCATCTTCGCCTGCATTTGTTGTTGCGTGTGCGATAGAAGAGCCAGATCATCTGCGAAGTCTAGAAAGTCCAGCTGCATCCTATCTCTCCACTGTATTCTGTGCTTCCCTTCAGATTTTGACGTCTTCATGATCCAGTCGATCACCAGGAGAAAGAGAAAGGGTGAGAGTAAGCAACCCTGCCTGACACCGGTCTTTACTTCGAACGAGTTTGTCAACTGTCCTCCATGCACGATTTTGCAGTGTAATCCATCATAGGAATTCTGTATGACATTGACTATCTTCTGAGGTACGCCGTAGTGTCGAAGAAGCTTCCATAATGTTATTCTGTCAAATGCTTTCTCGTGATCAATGGAGTTGATGTAGAGTGATGAATTCCATTCAATTGATTGTTCCACAATGATCCGTAGAGTTGCGATTTGGTCTGTACACGATCTATCCTTACGGAATCCTGCCTGTTGGTCACGAAGTTGGGCGTCTACGCAGTTCTTCATCCTGTTTAACAATACCCTGTTGAAGACTTCTCCGGGTATTGAGTTAAGAGTGATGCCCCTGTAGTTATCACAGTTTCTGAGATCGCCATTCTTTGGTATATTGACCAGAAGTCATTTTTTCCAGACTGGTGGTACATGTTCTTCATCCCAAATCTTATTGAAGAGAATATGGAGTACCTTTGCAGTTACTGCTACGTCTGCTTTCAGTGCCTCTGCTGGAATGTTGTCTGGTCCTGTTGCTTTGCCACTCTTGATTTACCTGGTGGCCATGCTAATCTCCTCAATTGTTGGTGGGTCAGCATTGTTTGGGAGGTCCGTGGTTGCTGCTTCGATATTGGGTGGGTTCAGTGGAGCTGGTCGATTCAAGAGTTCTTTGAAGTGTTCTACCCACCTGTTTTGTTGCTCTTCAATGTTGGTGATTACCTCGCCTTCTTTGATTTTCACTGGTCGTTCTGGTTTACGGTGATTTCCACACAGTTTCTTTGTTGTGTCATACAGTTGCTTCATGTTTCCTTCTCTTGCAGCCTTTTCCGCCGTCATTGCTAAATCTTCCACATATTTACGTTCGCCAGTTCTAATGCTCCTCTTCACTTGTTTGTTTACTTCTGTGTATTCAGCTTGTGCCTTGCCTTTGATGCTCTTGTTCGACTGGTATTGATTGCTGCTTTCTTGTTCCTCCTTTCTTGAATCTTACCCAGTGTATCAACAGTGGTCCATTCTTTGTGATAGTGGTTCTTGTGGCCCAGACCCTCATGACATGTTGAAGTGATTGGTTCTTTTGTCCCTTTCCAGTTGCTCTTCATATTATTTCCTTCTCCATTGAGTAGATCATGAAAGGCCTGGACTTTATTGCTGAGAGCTATCGTGAATTTGTTGAGTTTATTAGTATCCCGAAGAAAGGCCGTATAAAAATTTTGTGATGTTGTCTGCCCCGTTGTGCAGTGCTTCTTGAGTTTCAATTTCACCTTGGTGTCCAGCAATTGATGATCTGATGCTATATCAGCTCCTCTCTTGTTTCTCACGTCTCCGGTCTCCCACATTGTACGAGCATTCCGTGTACCTAAATAAATGGTTGCTCTGGTTGTCAGGATGGGTATCGGCCTCGTGACGTCCGAAGAAACTCGGCCTTCATCATGAGGCGTCATCACTCTTCTAAATGAAGAACCTCTGATTCCCAGGGCAAAGTTCAAATCGTTTGAATATTTTTTTCTGATTGGCGATTTTTAACGAGTCACTTTTCTACGCGACGGAGTCGCTAACTCCATGCTCAACCCTCATTTATCCGGGCTGGGGACGGCAGTAGCCTCCGGTGGGGCTTCAGGCGGATTTAACCTATTATATAGAGAATAGTGAATTGTTTAGAAAAGATAAAAGTCCTGTGTTAAAAAGCATTTAGCGTAGCGTTTCGACTAAGGGCTTTATCAGACCTCATTGTAATGCATGCAGTGTTTTTTAAATCCATAAAGGAGGGAACTAATCAAGATGATTCATGGATTAGTGATAAAGTGCATTTGTGATCTTTTATTGTTTACAGTTCCTTGTGTATTTGCAGCTACGTTTTGTGTCGGTCTTGCAACGTATTTTATATTCACTACCGTTACTTACTTTATTTGGGAACACGATGTAGCCTCGTAATAGACAGGCATATGTTAACTCAAGCGTTACGGTGTATAATCATGAAATAATCGAGTAATTTTCATGGTCCTTAGAAAGCGATATCTTTCGTTCCCGTTAGTCCATATATGAAATTATGTTCATATTCAATCTGCTTTATTTTTATATATTAATTGTACATCTTATATCAATCTCGATCGTCTGGTTCCCTCTTCTTGCTCCTTGATACCGAATGCACCGTGGTTTTATAACTTCTACTTTGTTGGTTATGGGATTGTCTGCATATATAATAATCATGTCGCGAATTTCAGGGCACCCCACCTCGTGAAGTTTCTGTTTCTTCTAGTTCTTAAAGTGCTTTGCTTTCTGTGCATCAGTGTGAAAGCTTCGTAAATTACTACAACGAAATGGGAATATATTGTCGCTGGACATCAATTCAGAATCCAATATATTCGCTACGGGTTTGTACAGATCGCTTTAAATCTTTGTGCCTGTAAATGATTGCTTTGCTACAGTTTCCAGTATTCGGTCGTAGTTAATAAGGAGCATTTTGCGAGACGTCAGCCTTGTTATAAATCACCACGTGCTTGGATTTTTGATAGGTTATTATATCACTGTTGGTGCTAGTTTTTTTTAAGTATTTAATCACAAGTGCCATTGTATTAACTCATTGTATAGCTCTGCTAGATTTGTTACTATTTCCAAGTTTGGTTAAGTGAGTAGGATTGGACATAGATTTAGCAATCATATGCTGCAGAAAGCATTTTTGCTAAAAAAACGTTAACTAAGTGTTGTGAGATCTTCGTTTAGAAAAAGTCTGACATCTAGTGGTGTAAGCCGAAATTTCTATGAAGTCACGCGTTCGATGCTTTTTCTAACAAACAGAACAATATGGGTACAAGGAATATCCGGGCACTTTTGGAGACAGGTAGGATCAATCGTACAGCTATGTAAATGAGGAGATAACTTTATGGTTGTAAGAGTAAGTGAAACAAAATGAAATAAAGCTAGAGAGAAAAGGATAGATTCTGAAGAGATGCTGATGTACTCCGTACATGAAGAAAAAATGCTCCACAAGTGCAAGGAGCTACTGTGATACTGTCCTGAGAAGCTATCGGAAGGGCATTTCATGTATCGAAATCATCTGAGCGCGCTTCAAAACAAAGGTGAGGGATCCTAATAGATGTTTCTCAGTGCTATGCACTCATCGATGACAGAAATGAAGAAGATAAATGTCAGTTCTATGAGAGGCCAAATCGTGACTGGATAACACTGAATATGAAGATATCTTGGAATGACATGGACTGACTGGAAGTAACAAAAAAGAATGGTGACAGATTTTCAAATCCATGTGCAATAAACAAATTGGTTATAGGGTGACAATATTTCCACAAAAATGCATTCATAAATTTGCATGGATCACACCAATGATTGCCAGCAGTCAACCAATATCAATGTCAGAATCTTCAGTGCGAACGTCAAATGGTCCTGCTTTACGGAGCTGGAACTTGGAGAATTACCACAACCATCATCATAATGGTGCAAGTACATATAAATAATTGTTTACAAAAGAAACCGAATGACAGGATAACATTAACAGCGATCTACTGTTGGATAGAACAAACCAGCTTCCAGATGATGGGTCATTTCGGGAAAGACGTCGGAGGTGATGGATGGTACATCATCAAACTGCATCACGAGGCAAGCACCGGAATCGTGGAGGTCGAAAGGAAACAGGAAGACCAAAGAACACATTACGTCTGGACTTGGAAGTAGACATGAAAATAAAGGATAGCAACCAGGAAAGTCAGAGTTTGACGGAGAATGCTCTTGGGCGGCCTGCGCTATTGCACAAGGGTAAACAGGCTTAAGTATATCTGGATACTCAGAGTGTACAATAGACACTAGTTTATGTCATATCAGAAACTGAATTTTAAGATTGTAGAATCTTACGCAGCGCTATAATATAAAGCTAAGCGCGTCAGCACTGCTTTGATGGATATTTAGACTGACGACAAAACATGATCAAAGACATCGTGTTTGTTGTAATATATTGATAAGACCTAACCTAATATGTCAGTTAAGGCGCTTAGTTTGTGAGTTGCGTTGGTTGTCCCCGCGATTACCAGTGAGTGTTCAAGAAAGTATTGTTTTTGTGTTTTGTTTGGGTTATCCTGAACGTTTATCGTTATTAGTAGTAATAATAAGCTCAATGTCGTTTCTCAGGAACTCAAATGACAAATATTCGTACAGTGTCGATTTGACTACTTGTTTTTCGTATTTGGACTTACATTTTCGTAATAAATATCAATAACTCCGTTTAAGATTCTGTGTTACTGATTTTCTTAGTACATATTTTAGCACAGCAGTTACACTTGTAATTTTCGCTTTGTTAAAACCTACTCACCCACTACATATTACTGTCTTACACTTATAAACCTTAAGGGAGAAACGTGGTTCAAATATAATGAATTTCATATTACTTGACATCTCTCACTGAAGAAATGCTCTGATATATTTTGTGAGCGTCAAATGCCAAATAAATCACTAAAAAGTGTATTTTCTATGGCATTGTTCTGTAATGAGGTTTATCGGTTGGACTATAATTTATGGACGGCTTTTGAGCGACTCTGAAGTGAACTTGAAAGTGTTTACCTACTTACTAGGGCTAAATGAGGGTTGTAAAGCAGTTCGTAGAATAGGGATTGCGATTTACAGTTGATGGTTAGGGTTTCTTTATCACAAACTGACATCAGCTATAATGCCAAGAATCTATTTAGCTAAATGGGTTAATGAATTTAGCTCCAAAATCTAAGACCTGTTGTCGTAAGTCTGATTGGCTCGTCCATAAATCATAATCTCTCCGCTTTATCAATTGTCATAGACCATTGATCCACTCATGAAATACGCGCATGTCCATCAAGTGATTACAGTAGAAATAGTTGGTAGTAGTCAGACGCTATGCCAGTTCAGTAAATTTGTATAATTGAAAAATTAATACATGAATACAACTGAACAAAAAGTAAGTAGAATTTCTGTACCGGGTGACAATTTTGAAATGTTGTAAAATCATGAAATCTAAAAGTTAGTCTCCATACATGTAGCTACTGAGTTGCACTTGTAAGGTGTAGATGCTCATCATCAACGCTATCCCGATTATTTTTAATGTACATAAGCGAAATATAGATTCAATTATATTGCCTAGTTAACTTTCTAACCCGTTAATACACTTATCACTATCTTGCAGCTCGTTACTTGTCACATTAGAAGATGCTTTTGAGTCTTGGGATACTTTAGTTTAAGAATTTATCTTCAGATAGTCGAAATACAAGCCAATTATAGTAGTGCATTTATTTTTGATGGGGTTTTGTTCTCTGAACTGGGTGGTTTGGTCGTGGAGCTCTCATCGTTCTGAACGATGTCATCAGCACAAACTTCAGGTAGAAGTGCATTTATTTCTACCCAAAATCAGTTTATTCTATTCCTTCGAAGATGACTAGGAAGCCTTCGTACTACTCTCTCCACTTTTCTATGTAGACATTTTGATACGCTATCGTTTAGGAAACCCTATATATATATATCCATAAACCTCGGAGTTCGCATTTGTAAACTTCGTAAGTATAGTAGCATAAAGTCACGTTTAATCGGTTGCTGTGTCATGTATCAAGCTTTTTCCTGCTTCCCTAACGTTAAAATGATATTTAGACGCATCAGGTGTTGTCTTATACCCTTATGCTTTTAGATAAACATCCAAAAGAATCAGGTAAGACTGTAATTTAGGGACGAACAAATCAGCCTTAGTTCAGAAAGGCCTAGATGTTGGCGCGAAGCCCATGCATCCAAATGGCTAAATAGCATTTCTATGTTATAGCCGATGTCATTTCATTGTGATATCCCTTGCCCTAATTCCTAACCCTAACACTAACTACAGATTCTAATCGCTCACACTTAGACAATGTTGCGTCTAACCTAAACCTGTCGATACAGGTAGCTACTTTTCATGGCACCACATTAAAGGAAAGTGTGTAACACTAATGATATCGAGATGACTGAATAACTGGAAATGCAAAGAAGAAGCAAATACATGAAATCAGGCTGTCGGTCTTATGAAAATATACTATTTTCAAGACCTACAGAGATAATTATTCTCTGCATTATTCCGATTAATTTTTAGATATGTCACTTGGAGCGCAAAAGGTTTCCAAGCTTTAGAGGTACTAGGGGAACGTAAGCAGCATTTGCTAGTTTCTAACTTTATTATATAAGCGCATCTATATTTTGCTGTAAGTCCCCTGAAGTCCTGCCACCTACGTAATGCCCGTGGTCTTGAATATGTAGGGTTATTTGGTAGCCATATAAAATTTATTTGCTATATTGATTGATAAGTTCCTGTTGATATTTTATGTTCTTCATCAAACTGCAAACTATTTTAATAATATATAATGGGTTTCTTCATATTAATCAGTGGTATTAAGGTTGTCAGTAATTTCCTGCTCTTGCCTAACTTCACTTTTACAATGAAGCACTGGACGACAAACGGTAACATACTGATTGACTTTCCATTTAAGGCACATTTGGTACTAACATGACTAGCAATCTTGTTCTATGTCTGTAAGAGAATCAGTCAAGCAATAAATTCGCATATGGTTGCTATATGTACATCCTCTGCAGCTCAATAGTTAAATCAGCCTCTTTTCTAGAAGTGGTGTTATTTTACTTTTTATCAGATCTACTCAGTCATGAAACAATTTGCAAAAAGCTTTATTTCACGTCGAGAATCTAAAAAGTCTGTCTGAAGCTATGGAATTATAAATAGCTCTTGCTTTTGCATATTTTTAAGCAGATGTGGTGTTTTGAATTTTGTATGACTGGTTTCTGGCATATTCGTAATTCAGTATACGGAAGCCAGCATATTTTTGGAGAAGTATCTTGTACAATTTTTCCAAACTTTATTAAAATAGAAATCATCAGTCTCATACAGTTTCATTTACTAGGTCGTGAGCTACACCTTTTCCGTGTAACAATGTTATCCGGTTCCTTAAACCCTTGATAAAGTGAATCTCTGTCCGAACCGTAACACTATGATTGAAGTTTAAATTCATTAATCTTATGTCGAATGGGTACTGTACATTATATCTCATTATAATGACCAGAATGCTCTCTGTTCTTGAGTCTTCTCGGGCTCAATGAGATAAAAATGATGAAACCATGTTAACGTGAGGATTCATTTGCTGTAATTTTACCATATTCACAGGCGCACAGTAATTCAGATTTCGAATTTGTTCTGTTAAATTGTTCACATTTGTATGTTTATTGGTTTATTTATAATCAAACTTTCTTTTCCGCTAAGTTTTTATCCAAAATGAGTGAACTGGACCAGCTACGGCAAGAAAGTGAACAACTCAAAAATATGATCAGGGTGAGTCTGTTAGTAAAAACCTTCTGAAGTCTGTGATTTTGTTATATCACCTATAGTCAGACAGTTAATATCAATGTATTCTATGGTCGCATTTTCTTTAAATTAAGCTCTTGAGAATATATAAATACCTCAATGTAGTTCTTTTTCGAGTCAAATTCTGAGTGTTTAATCTTCCAGATCACTATTACTACCATATTACTTCAATCTCTTTTAAAATTCATCATATCGTTTTCATTTCCTCGTGCCAATACGATGTGAGAATTTAAGCCAACTCAAATCTGTGCCATGCTCTATATCAATGTTTGTCTGTCTGTCAGTGTGGTTTTTACGGAAAGCCGAACATTGGCTTCAAGCCGCATTACTCATGATTATTTGTTTTCGTCTAGGTATAAAACAACTCTTGTCCGTTTCTATGTTAAAAGTCTAAAAACTATGGATCCATGAAAATATCAAAAGTGTTTTCTCGACTAAAATAATCGTGATGAGTACAAAAAACGTTACTTTTAACGAAATCAATCTCATCTATGTTGTCAGGATTTATTGTGTAATATCTTTTACGCTACCATATTTCTAGGTCTCACAACATTTTTCATTACCTAATTGCAGGTTATATTCCTGTTAATCACTGTTTTGGTTGATTCAGTCGTTCAAAACTAGTTCAGTTATCTACAATTTTGTCAAATTTTAATTAATTTAGATATCCACTCGTTTCTCTGTTAGTTGTGTAACGATTGAACACTCAAGTGGGGACGACTGCATGTATGTTAGTACATTACAGAATATTTTGGTCAAGTATGAGAACTATACATTGAATACTTCATTTGCAAAATTTCATTATTTGTCCTTCACATTCGGTATGATTCTATCAAGTCACAATTCCTCTTTATTTCCGTTTCTGTTTTTTCTATAAGTTGATCTCAGTTATCTGCTGCCAGGTTTTTACTTCCGATGTGTTGTGGCGCATATATATTGGCGCTCTCTTGTACCAATATTTATGTGTTCAAATAAATAAATAAATAAATAAATAAATAAATAAATAAATACTTCCGATGTGTTACACACTACTTATATTTGTTGACATAAATACCATACACCACAGATGTCCTTCATATTTGCCACACTCGAAGTGACCCTTTTAATCTGATTTTTTCCACTGCGAATTTCCATTCACAGTAGTTATTAATTTAAGTATGTCTTCCTTGGTTTCCTATAAGCCCTAACAAGATTTATCTTTTGTGTTAACTGGAGCTTAAAAGAAAACAAAAAGTGCTCACCATCAAACGAATCAGGGCTAAAAGTATTTCATCATACAGTAAACGCGTATCAATCATTAAAGTGCTTGTTTAATCTTTCTTGAATGTGTAATGTTTCCATATTTCTTCCTTCGATGTTGATCTATTTCCTTGATTATTTCAAACATTGCTATTAATTTCCCGTCAGCGCTGTTGAAATGCATGACTAGTTGAATCGGTGGATTGCTGTTTGATATGCCACATTACTAAATCAATTTATCAGCCAACTTACCTTCATTTTGCTTTGTAAATAATTTTAGTGGCTAATTCGGAATGTAAATTGGTAATTCTTCGAAAAATGTGGATTTAATAGAATATAGATTTAGTTGAACCAATAGTTAGTATGTAAATTTACTTAATTATAGAAGAACACTACTATCATGCTAGCAATTTAGAAGCTATATTTTCTCATCAGAATTTGGCAGATTTGTTCCTTCGGTAATTATTCATTTATGAAACTCACTTTACACACTTATCGACATGATAATATGTGTAAGAATTGCGGTAAAAGTTCAGTTTTTTTTTAACAGTGTAAACCGGTATTCACTTTTTGAGGCCATAAGGTCATATAAAATTAGTTAGTTCGAAATGTCACTGATATCCATAGCTTATTTGTATTTTGAAATATTTTGAAAATTCAGTTTTCGGTCGCTGTATAATTCACCGTGATCAAAACGTATAATCCGTAGTGGATAAAACTCGATTTTTTAAGTTGTGGAAAATAATGATATGAATATCAGCTTTCATTGTTTATGATTGCGCTTGTTCCCAATATCCAGTGGTTTCTGTTCATTTTCTTCCAGTTCAATGTATTAATTATTTTTTTTCTATTCAATTAATATATTAGGCATTAAAGTTTCCTCTACTAATTTAAGGGTTTAAACCCTGATCCATGTACTTAATCTTGAACGTTCATAGAATATCCATTGTATTTCCATCAGTAGGTTTTGTTTATAGTCTTATAAATTAGACTCTTCGTAGCTGTAATGTTGCTATCATGTACTATATTTTCAAGGGCTGACTTACTATATACTCGATACAACAGTGATGCAACAATTTAATTTTCGTTTTTCATCACATTACGCAGTCAAATATCAAGTTTTACTTCCCATCATTCCTTAACCTAATATATGACTAAAAACATTAATATGTTGTCTGCCGCATTTTGTTCCTCTATAATTGAACGTGTCGTTTATAAGATATAACAGTAAACGCGTAAATTTACTACGAGGGACTAAGTATTATTGATGGATCGGTTTCAATTTTGACTTCCATGATAACTTATCAAAATTTATTCCTTGACAAAAACAGACAACTTTTATTCGTATAAATATGTAATTCAAGCAGAAACTTCTCTAATCGTCTTGGAAACTTCAGATTTCCTCTTCTGTGCATCCTGAACATCTGAAATTTTGTTAAAATTGTTAGTATGAACATTTTTAAACTATACTTCATACTTGTAAAATTTAACATGTACTAAATGGCATTTACATGATTTAGACAGCCAGTCTTACTAAAACTGCTTCTCTGTACTAAGCTACTCACGGTCATGTTAAGTAAAAGATTACATAGTTTGGTGACCGCACGTAATTTAGAAAATGAAGTATGATTTTTTAAGTCTTTGAATCAAGTACAGAAAATAACTTCAGATTACCTCACCGGACTACTATGGATACAACGATCGACTTATTATGGTTTGTTTAAATCCGTGAGTTATGTATTCACTAGTGTAGCTACATGAATAGGGAAATCAAACGTTTGAACACTTGGATAAACATAAGTGATATATTTTTTGAACCTGTTGTTATGGAAGCGAAATCTTTATTTCCATTCAGTGCTCTCGAGTTTCTTGGCACTTTCAAGCTACACAAAATGAATTCAACGACCCAACTTCACTTTTGTTTTAACATACACAATTTCATATACCTAGTTCTAGTGATATTTATTCACTGAAGCTGGTATTTTGCATTTAAAAGAGGATATTATGCTTGGTAGCTGCAAAGAATAATGATTTTCAAAGTTTTCACATATTTTTTTGCATAAATAGATAGCAGTGTACAAGTAGTTATTCAACTATTGTTCAGACAAAACTAAGTTAGAAAGTAATATCATTGAATAACAGTTTATATGTTGTGTAAGTAATAAATCAACATTTTGCCACAGTCAGAATAACCTAGTTGGGATAGATCTTATTTAGTTGCTCGAGGAAAATCATGTGCATAAATTGGTCAGTTGATCAATATATGGGAGTTATTTAACGACTAAACCTGGTTTATTGTGGATGGGTAAGTATACATAGCGTACAGTTGATGTGTCTTAAATTGACGAGATTCACTCCTGGATTCATTTTCAATACATGAATACCACAATTCTCCTTTGTCTCTAATTCCCGACAACTCCAAGGACGAATCCGTAGTGAAAGGTTTATTTAATAGAAGGCAATGAAAACTGATATAAACTAGTGTCGCATTCAAATTTCATGTACAATGGCCTTGGAAATAGGGAAAAACTTTGGCACACTAAAAGAACCGCGGTTGTTTAATAAATTAGCTACGCACGTCTAATAACTATCTACTTCAATTATCCTTTCTGTTTGATATGAATGTAGCATGGTACTGGTCTGTGTATTATGTGTTGATTATTGATTTCAGTCACAGTGGAAACTGAAACCTGCTTAGATTTGTTGTTTACCATTATAACTGAGATAAATTGTAAATCAATACGACTCTTCCAAGTCAATGCTAATATTGTTAGGATGAGGTATTGTGGAGATTGTAGTAATTTTAATAATTGAATTCATGAGCCGAAGCCGTAACTAGTGGAGTCCAATCCGTAAGATCATGGATTCACTGAAGTTAGACATCAACATCGTTAGATGCCGGCTCAGTGGTCTAACGATTACGTGTTCGCGCCTGAAACCGAAGGCCCTGGGTTTGAGTCCAACATGCTGTGTCATAGGTGCGCACTACTGATGAGTCCCGTGCTAGTAAGAAACAGCCATCCAATGCTTCTAGGTTTTCAATGGTGGTCTAACCTAGATCGAATCATGAATTCAACCATTTAAATACTAATGTTGATATATTCACTGTTTACATTATTTTATGACTTAAATACTCTATCACTCTAACTCAATTCACTGAAATTATCAACAAAACCTGTAATAGTGTTGTTAATTATGTAAAAATATATATGGTGATGTTGTCCTTTAAATTATAAAGAATTTTTAACTATGCCTATGGCTTAAAATATATACCGCTTGATTCTGTTCAGTGTACAAATTCAGTCACTACAGGGAAAGTAGTAATGTTCAAGAATACAATTACAAAGTGTTTAAAATGGGACTCGAATACATTAATTGTTGATCGTTCGTTCACAAGACAGAGAATGAAGGCTGATTTTCGTAGGAAAGCTTTATTGTCTCGAGAAGAGAAAAAATATTACATTATCATCGCACAGATAATTAGCAAGGTGTATATTATAAATATTACTAGCGCGAATGTATGTCTTTGTATTTTTATTTATTGTTCGACTGAACGGGAACTGAACATCCCTTATTTCATTCGTGAATACTTCTCTAATATTCTTATTATTCTTCTACCGTATACGTGAATTAGTTTACTGTGAATAAAGTTAGTTGAAAATCCTTTTATCTTATCGATATTTTATAAACCTCTGCTCCAATCTAATCTCCGGTTTTTTACTAAGTAAAGGTTTATTTAGTCGGCTCTGAACTACACTACTATGGTAAAGGCAATGGGATCGAAGTAGGTAGTGCGTAGTCTGAACTTGTAACTGGTTTAAAGCCAAATATTTTAATCAACAAACTACCACTACGTAGCGTAGGTGTAGATTATTTGGGTGAGGTGTAGAAATATAGTTTTTTAAAGGAAATATTTAAGTTGTTGAAATTGATAGGGTTTAAAGTGTTCAAACTTTTAAAAAGTATAAACTGTGTAATTTTCTTCTAATGACTGAAAAATATATTTCATAATATTTTATCTGAATATGGTAATTTATTTTTTCACAGTAAATAGAAACCTTTACTTTTCTGTAGAATTATAGTCTACTAGTCAGTTTGTTTTTGTCTATATTATTGTCATCGACTACTTTTTTTGTTTGCTAGGAGGCACGCAAAGCTGCAGCTGATACTACGCTACTTCAAGCATCTAGTAACGTGGAGCCAGTAGGACGAATTCAGTTGCGTACTCGTCGTACTTTACGCGGCCATTTGGCAAAAATTTATGCTATGCATTGGAGCACTGATTCGCGCAATCTTGTATCTGCCTCACAAGATGGCAAACTTATAGTTTGGGATGGGTATACTACTAACAAGGCAAGAATAAGTTTGTTTAGAAAATATAAATATACTATACAGAATCGTAAATTATGTAAATATTTTCATCTATTTTTTTGTATTTCATGTAATTCAGTATTGTCGTAGTTCGTATCTGCTGTATCCCTACTTAATTATTTTAAGTGAGATTGACATTGGGAATCCGAAAACTTTTTAAATTGAATGTATTTATTTTAATAATGTTTTTTGGATCCACGTTGTTTTCTGTGTGCTTGTGTTGATTATATTTGCTTTTTTAAAAATTATTTAATCAGGTCACCATCTCAGAAACTTGTAAGTTCATCAAGTAGATTGATAATGTAAGGATGTAGTATTCATATCTTAAGTTAGTTTTCATTTTTAATTAGTTGTTTGTTACACATTCCAGCGTTTTATCGTTATCTGTGCAAGTAATGACTGGTTTCGATTTCATGTCAAAATTCTGTTGTAGGTTCATGCCATTCCTCTAAGAAGTAGTTGGGTCATGACCTGTGCCTATGCACCTTCCGGTAATTATGTCGCATGTGGTGGTTTGGACAACATTTGTTCCATTTACAATCTTAAAACACGCGAAGGTAATGTACGTGTCAGTCGTGAGCTTCCAGGACATACAGGATACTTATCATGTTGTCGTTTTCTTGATGATAGTCAAATTGTGACAAGTTCTGGTGATGTGACTTGGTATGTGTCATGTGATTCACTCAATTTTTTCTTGTTATGCTATTAAAAGAAGTTCGTTACATTTAACTCTGATTTATTTACTATAATTTCACTTTGTAATTAGTTTACAAGGTGCATCACAATCTTTATTCATTAGGAATGACTACTAATTACCAAGAGATCTTTGAAAAGAATCGTCTGATTTTTAAACCACACAGGTAACTATAAGATCCGTGGAATTACATTGATTTTCAAAAATATATTGTCACTTTTGGGTGACAGAATTAGTAAGAAAGCAGCTTTCTTGATAGTCGTTTGTTACATTAAGCCAATAGTAAGATATTAAACATGCTTAAATCTTTAGTTATTTTCTTCCAAATAAAAGTTGTATTACCCTGATGATACGTGTAGCTTAGTATAAAAAATTAAGCCTTCAGTTGTTAGTGAAAATTAACATTCATTTCTAATTTTTGGTATGGAGTACAGTATACAGTATCATTTTCTATAAAAGTATTCATTCTGTAAATGTTTTTGGAGCAATGAACTTTAAAGCATATCAGTTGCTTTCATAGAATCTAATATGCACAGACAGCTATCTATTATTTCACTTTTAAGCATTACTGTTAACAACCTATAAGTATATGTAAATTAAAATCTTTCTTATTAATTCGAAAGCTAATTTATGTAGGTGTAGACTACCTGGTTGGGGACCGCGAGATGATAGCAACCGATGGTTAGAGACCCTGAATGACATGGCTCAAAATCGTTTGCAATGGCGCAGGTGCATCCACTCTCTGTGTTCTCTCAAATTCTAATCTTCTGAATTCTTCATGTCCCTTTTTTCCTCTTTCCAAATTTATTTCACTGGATTATACTCTATAAATAACATCTCCAAACCCTAATCTTCCCGATTACTGCTTATACTCTTATTACCTCTACCACTATGGGATTTGAATCGACAACTGCATCTCTGTGCTAATGTGGTGTGGCAACTCGAACTGATGTACGTACGTACGAAGTTCTACGTTGTTACTGACTGACTGACTGAATTTATGTAGCTGTAAAATATTTTACTCATCATGTTTTCTATGAAACAATCTATAAAGTACAATCCCGTAAACATTTTAATCAATATTTGTTTCCTAAATGCAAGTATATATCATTAAAATTTATTCTTGGTTTCTAAGTAAAAGGATATTTTAAAAAAAGAAACTAGTTTACCGTACATTATTAATAACTTATAAAAAGCAAATATTTATGAAATAAAACTAACCTAGTTGATCGATTATGTCATACTAATGAACTGTATTTAAAATAGTTCGCGTACTTCCAGTTTATATGTTTCTCGGGATTACTTATGATATAATCTGAGTCTTATATATATATTTCTATACTGATAGTGTTTAGTCGACTGAATATTTTATATCAATTTACCCGAAAATTTGTATAATCTAAATAAAACAATTACATTCAAAAAGAAAAAAAAATTAATAAATATAAAAAGGTGGCTATTAATTTTTACCGAAAAATGATAACGAAAAATTTAACTCTTCCTTTCTACTGTATATCAGAATATTTTAGTAAATTCTTATCCAGTAAACTAAGTGACTCTATTGCTATATTTTACTTAGTATTTGCGTGTGCTGTATAAATTGGTTGAATTAAAATGTTTGTGTTTGTACAAATGGCGATCTGGCTGAAAAAGATTGAACATCCAATGATTCTTTAAGATCAATTACTTTCTATAGTTGTGAAAGCCCAATCCTCCTAGCTGAGAATGTGTGACAACTCTATGTTCAGGCTCTGTTGTCTCCGGAGCATTGCTGATACCCAGTATCAACACAGTGTTAATAACGCAGATGTTTGAACGGCATAATGATATTCCAGTTATAATCACCATCTTAATGCACCAACTTTGGCGTCTTAGGTATGGTTTGCAAACGTCATCCCGGTGAATTTCATATCACACTCTCTCTAACTCTGAACCTAGGTGGGAAGGAAATCAGTTTATGGCATGTACCTGTGGTATAAAAAATGTGACTGTATAGGATTGGGGCCTCTTGGTACACCAAGACTTCCCGAATGGAACCCTTGTTTGTGGCCAACAGTGACTTAAGAAGTTCCAGAAGTTGGTAGCGATCCTGCTGTAGCTTCACGTCAAATTGTCTCCTTTTTTGTTCAATTTACTGTCACTTCTTTTGCGAATGTTTCTTTTGTGCCTTACTGCATCAGGAATACTGTGCTATAAGTCAATAAATAAATAATGACAGTGGTGAATGTGCATTTGGTTTCACCAGTCTGGTTATGAAATTATTCGTCTTACATATTTTTACTCTTTATTTTCCGGGTCAGTTTATTATCCAATGAATAACACTATGTTGAATTTCGGCTAACCCTAACCACTCTACTACTCTGGCAGAGATCACCTCGGGGTAGACAGTAGCTAGGAATGAGCTACACATATTTAAACTATTCCAGTCGACGAATTTCCACAGTCTTATTAACTGATTCGCCGTCTGTACCTAGTACTTCACATTTAACCTCACTATTTTCCACTCAGTTGCTCCATTTTACGCGAGTAATCTTTTGAAGTCAGCTCTAATAAGATAACAAAATCTACATGTTTTCCGTTTTCATCGGGGTTGTTTTACATCCGAAAATTAGTACGAAGTGAGATGCTGTACAATATGCTCGTCATTTGTTAAGTAAACGAACACATTAAAAGTCAAGTGAGGTTCTATCCATTTTTAAAATTCATCAGCCTCCAACCTAACAGATTTCACAGGAATCTGGAGAAGCACTGGATAACTGGAGAAACAGCATTACAGAGGTTTAATACAGCCTTTCTTCGACATACTGACAAACTCAACGAATTCATGACAACTCTCAACAACAGGTTCCAAGTCCTACAAACTCTAATCGAAGAAGAGGAAACAAACATGGAGAACAATTGGAAAGTTACCAAAGAAGCACTGACTGCAAAGTGTCAGGAGGTTCTGAACCTCAAGAAGCATCATCATAAGGAATGGATCTCTATGGATACCCTGGACAAGATTCAAGAAAGCAAGAACAAAAAGACAGCAACCAACAACAGCCGAACAAGAACAGAGAAAGTCAAAGGACAAGCTGAATACACAGAAGCAAACAAGCAATTGAAGAGGAGCATTAGGGTTGACAAGCAGAACTATGTGAAGGATAGTGGAAAACTGCATGAGAAGGAAATATGAAACACTTTTATGACACGATGAAGAAACTGACAGGGAAATATAGTAAGCCAGTGAAACCAGTCGGGGACAAAAAAGGTAAGCCAATCATTGAAATTCAAGAACAATGGAACAGGTAGGTAGAATATTCCGAGGATCTCTTGAATTGGCCAGCTCGATTGAATCCACCAAACACCGGAACAGCACCTGCAAACCTCCCTATGGATGTCTCCCCGCTATCGATAGAGGAAATCAGGATGACCGTTTATCAGACAAATGAGTGGGACCTGACAGTATACCAGCTGAAGCACTGGAGTCAGACATAGAAGTAACTTCAAGATGCTCCACGTTCTATTCAGGAAGATTTTGAAGGAAGAACATGTGTCGACAGACTGGGAAGAGGGATACTTCATCAAGATACCAAGGAAAGGAGATTTGAGAAAATGTGAGAACTATGGTGGAAAAACCTTACTATCGGTACCAGGAAAAGTCCTCACATACCTCATTCTAGATAAGCTCATGATAGTTTTATAAAGGTAACCACTTCATTTTTGGCGTCATTTAATCGAAGCAGCTTGATTATTAAGTTGCATTAGTTATGAGATTTTTTATCGAAACGAAAACTTCGTACATTAAAACCAAACCTAAAGAATAATGAAGTTGTTAGCATAATCAAAAGTCCAAACATATATAATTATACCAACGTTTTTAGTATGATATTTAATGCTTTCTATAAATAAGAAAGTACATGTCTGTGATACACTTTTTTCTATCATTTCTTGTATTTTTTTATTATTGTTATCAGTACATTTTGTTTGTGAATGAATATACTGTCCTTTATCTTCAAGAGTTTCTGTCATTATGATCTTGACAGTGCTATATTTCTTTTTCTTATAGTGGACTTTGGGATATTGAAACTGGGCAACAAGTTGCTACTTTCACAGGTCATACAGGCGATGTAATGAGTCTTAGTTTAGCACCTGATCTACGGACATTTGTTTCAGGAGCTTGTGATGCGTCGGCAAAAGTTAGTTTCTATTATTTAAACTTCATTCCCAATAATTTGATATAATTTTGGCATAATCTTAGTACTAATTATGTTCATTTCTAAAATTAGTCTTTTTTTAAAGCTTCACTTTTGTTTGATGGAAATAGGAAGAATTTTTTTATAGTTTATAAAGGTTCACTGTAAACGCCCTGAAAAATTTATCCTTGTCTACGGCTGTCATGATATAAAGCTGAAATTCACACGCATTCTCTTATTTTCATCTAATTAACCAACCTCTGTTGCTATAGTAAGTAGTAGTTAATTCTTTTTTACTCATGTGTACTGGTTTTTGGGCGTACACGGTCACCAGTTCGAACTTCGAAAAATATCAAAGAAATAAATATAAACACGTGCTATATATATATATATATATATATATATATATTAACTAATTGCTCACGCGTTTCTGATATTTAATCAATATAAAGTAAGCTGATATAATAGCTTTGGGATATAAAACCTTGTTCAGGCCAGTAACATTGCTTTTCGATTTCTTCTTTTTTTATTGATCGATATTGTCTATTTACCGACCATTCTTATGCGCCTGCCTTGTCTTTCTATCTCTCATTCTTTCTACCCCTGGCTTGAAATTTTATTCCATCTCTGGTTTCTAATACGATGATTGCCTGTCTGTTTAACGTTAACGCTTTGCATGTCCGTTCAAATATTTTTTTTTAATTTTTGGCTCGGCAAACATTGCCCATACCTCACAAATAAAAATATCTAATCATACAAATGTATTTCACGCTCAGATCCCTTCTTCCAGGGAAATAACGGTAAAATAACTTAATACTAATTTTTCTACTGCTTACTAAGCTGGTCTAGGTAACTGTTGTTAAAATAAAATGATACTAACCTCTTTTTTTAAGTATTATGCTGATCGATTGTTTGGTTTGTTAGGAGAAAAAAAAATCCTCAAGTGTGAATCATAGTGATGTGATTAGATCGCATCAGCCTCTTCGTTTTAGTAAACGTGTCTTAATAGAACTGTGATTTAATTAGTAGTCCAACCACTTAGTTCCAGGTTCAAACCCGTTCCACTCGCTTCCACTACACAAATATAGTCAAAGCCAATTTCACGAATTTGTACTTAATGAATAAATGATATTGAGTTACGAAAAAATCTGTACTACGGAAAAAAGATGCTTTTTTTACCTCAAGATGTCATTCTGTTCTACCAACTCATCTAAGGAAAAATAAATCCAAAAGTAACTAACTGATAAACATGGGCAATACTCAAATGTAGATACATTTTATCTATAGAAGAACACAACTAATTGTTTTATGTCTTCATAGTTTTCCAATTACTAAGTTTTCCTATCCATCGATCATCACAAAATAACCTACTTGAAAATTCCAATGCAAAAAAGCTTGCTTACAATTGACACCACTGATTGTTAATATATTCGTTAAATCGGTTAATCTTGCATCCATATACTGTATTATTTTTACCAAATACTTTACATCTGATTATAACAAAAGCTTTCAATGAAAAGGTAATAAACGTTATCCTTTCATATTACGAGATTTAGTTGCAGTGGAATACTTTTGAGATATTTCCTACACTTCCTACATCAATGGTTCTGATAATCATTATTATACTAATTCCTCATCTATGCATAAACTTTACACGACATTATGAAGCGGTGAATATAGTTTATTTGTGCACAGCATAGATAAAACCATCACCAAGCGCGATTTGAGTAACCAACATTTAGCCTAGGAGAGGAGTATATGTTTAGGATGTAACACGTGGTCAATCATACATGATCATTAAAGCCTGGGAATAGTAATGAAAAGATATATGCAAATTATTGCCGACACAAATGACACTGCCTATCAAATTTAATTCAAGGGCTTAATAAACTTCAGCATATGCAGACTGAAGTGTAGGTGAGGGCCCTATAGGATCAATTTTATTGAGAAAACTGCGCCTAGGTTTCCTTTACTTATGTTCCGTAATGAAGTTTTAAAAAAAAGCTTTCAGCGTCATACTTTTTAGCTTTTAGGGATTGTTATTATTTATGTTTAGTTCTTTTATGATTTGCATTTTTTTCTTAGTCTGTTTAAATCGAGTTATGTTCTCAAAATGAATGTGATTTTAATAGACTTCAATTTCACCGAATGTATTTTCTTTCTGTACTTTGCAACAATGGTGCATAATATTTTTAGTGAACAGAACACGGGTGGGGACAATCGAATGTATTTAACACGAAATTACAGGACTAGTTAATAAAATCTAACAATCATAAAGTAAATGCTTAATTTGCAAAATGTCCACCAGTTGTCTCAAAATGACTCAGACTTCATTGTTCTTGCATTTTCATACAAATTGCATCCTGTTTCCACTCTTATCTCTCTGCTGCCAGACTTTCTGTTCACGACTAACATCATATACTACTTACGTCAATATAAGTAACACACCACAATATTACATCATTTATAGATTGCATCTTTCTCTGGTTGACATCAGTTATATGTCATTAAAATCCAGAGAAGAATAAGCTGTTCCGTCTTGGTGCAGGCTTCCTCACCAGGGAACACCCGCGACACCATTGGGAATCGGACGCAGGACTTTAAGGTTTGGTACCTAACCTTTTACTTTCAAACCACTTATTAGGAATCCAATTTTCTTCATTGTAACTTTGATCGGTTCACGATATAGTGCTGCAATTATTTAATGCCATCGATTATCATTATCTTCTATTTATTATTGTGCAAAAAATTATCGCTAAGAACAACATTTCCATATTTTTCAAATTTTTTTTCAATCAACCAAGTTAACACCTAAATTAGCAATGTACATTGAGAAACTATTGACTTTATTGGTAATAATAATATTTTATTGGCACCAGTTTTGGTTTTTATTAGTTGAACCATTGAACTTTCAACTATTAGCTTTTAAGTTCTAATCACTCTACTTTAGTTGTAGTATTACAACTAACTCTCACTAAAATATGTGTATCGAATGTGAAAACAAATTTGTAATTATTAGATCGATTTAATAATAATGGTAATAAATAATGATTTTTTAAAAGTTTTTTTTCTTATGTTGTTGGACAGATACTGTTTATTTTGTCCTATTGCTTGAAATTTATTGACTACTTTGCTTTATTTTATCTCTTCAAATAAATGTCAAATGTTTTTACAACGAATGTTATCCAGTTATGTATTATTTAACACTGATCAAATTTCTGTCAAGGTTACTCACACTAACAAATTATGATTTTTAGATTGAAATAGTTTTCGATGTTCTGCTTTTTTCGGAAATTTCTATAATTTTATAGATCAAGGTAGGGTCTGTTAAGTTATGATGACAATTAACATAGGTATATATATCAATGACACTTGTAAGTTACTAATATTTGATCACAGATGCCTTCAAAGCATTTCTCGCGTATATTAAAACCTTTGAGTAAACAGTGCTGAGATTAGATTCAGAATATCATTTAATAATAAATCAGTTGTTGATGTAGTGAGTTTTCATTGACTAAGGCGGTTGGGATCTGTATTACGTCTGACTAGGTTGGAAGATAACTGTTAAACCAAGATGTAGCGTCATCCCATGAAATCATTGACTATTGGAGTAAGCTGTGTTTGCAGGTGTAGGCTACCTACTTAAAGTCCTTGTAATAATCATGACCAATGTTTAAAAGACGTTAGGCAACATGGTTCAGTATCGATCACAGTGGTTCAAATTCATTCACTGTTTTCCTTCCCTTAGATCTTGATTTTCAAAATTATTTTGTACTTTCTGTTCGATTAGTTCACTATTTCTCAAACCGTATTGTTTATGCCTAATTTTTCTACAACTTATCTGGTTTTTTTTTATAATTTCATCTCGTCTTGCTGATATGATGTTATAACTTAGATCTATACACATATGTCCCAGATTCTATATTGTATATGACTGACTGGTTCATTTAAAAATGTATCATTATTGATGAAATCTTTGTGAAACGTATGTGTTTTTTCAATTGTCTTAACCTAAAAGCTATGGGATATACGTGATGGTCAATGTAAACAAACGTTCACTGGACATGAATCAGATATCAATGCAATTATATTCTTTCCGAGCGGTTTAGCTTTTGCAACTGGTAGCGATGATGCAACCTGTCGATTTTTTGATATTAGAGCTGACCAAGAAATTGGAATGTTTAGTCATGATAATATTATTTGTGGAATAACAAGTGTTGCTTTCAGTAAAAGTGGACGATTACTACTTGGTGGATATGATGATTTCAATTGCAATATATGGGATACACTTAAACAAGAACGTGCTGGTATGTTATGATCTTTTCTATTTATTTTTTTAAAACAATCTGTCGTACATTTGTACTGCTACGTAGTAATTTATTATCTTCTTGGTAATGCAGCACAACTAAATGCATTTACCTTGTCTCGTTACTTCTAATAAGTTAAAAAACTCCAATAAAAATTCTCCAAAACACTAATTGATTTTGTCTAGTTAATCTCCAATCCTGAAAATAGTTGCTTGAAACTGTAAAATCTCAAGGTGTTTGTAAACATGTATGAATAAAACAAAGCCGTTTACTTCCTGTTGAAATTGTTATATTGGGTTGATATTAAGGAAAAGTACTAGTGTCTAATTTTTTTATAATATGATTTACGAGAGAGCGTTTTTTGGACAAACTAAAACCTATGTGTTCTAACAATTAAAAAGAAAGAATTTTTGATCAACTTTATCCTATTTTTCCTCCTGAGGTTGCCATAAATGTTGATAAGTTTCCTTTGGGTCTAAAATTTCTGCAAGAGTAAATAAATTTCAAATAATATTTTTTTCTATGGTCATTTTATAATGTATGTATTTTTGAGTTGGTTACATTAATTCTCAGATTTATGTGAATCATAGGCAATTATCAGCTATTCTATTTTCATTCGAAATGATAATTGAAGCACCTATCATTAACCAGACTTTTGCTGTCACAAAATGTTAATCTGATTTACTACATTCATTTGCTGTTCAGTTATGTTTAAGAATTTCAAGTGATTTACTTGCCTATGTTTTTATTTATTCTTTCCTTCATCCATTCTTCTTACTAACTAACAAACATAACCCTGTAACTATGGGTCAATATTGTAGTTGAGTGTGTGTAAAATGTCCTTTTAGAATGCTTATATCAAAATGTTATACCTGAAAGACTACTGGACTCCAAACCAAATGATACTGGTTTAAAAGGCAATATAGTTTTACCGATTATTTAAATATTTTATCAACTAGTTATTAAAATCATTACACCTAAAAACGTCCACGTTTGTTGCATTTATTCATATCAAGTCATTCAAGTGATTTAGCTGCAGTCTTTTTAATGATCAGTAAACTGAACAATGACAGATTACTGTATTTTTCAGAACTATAATAGTTTTTTTTTCTTATCAATCGTAATATGTGTACACTTCAACAGTCTTTGTTGACCTGGTAGTCAAACGCTAATGCATACTTCCTTCATTTAATATTTTTAGTCTTTCACAACATTTTTCATCATCATCCACTTTTCTATGGAAACATTCTTGTCTGCTTGTTTGTAAGTATCATTACTAGCCTCATCATATTACTGGACGCTCTACCAACTTAGTTATTCAAGTTTTTACTACCTTTCAAATATTTTTTCGAACTGTCATTTTTATTTTATGTGAAGCTACGTTTCATTGTGCATTGACCTCAGGTGAAGAGCAATAGATAATTAACTAGTACTGACTAGTTATCTCATTTGACAATCCACATCTGTTAGGAGAGCTAGAATCGAAAGATGGGTCTACAGCTCCTGTGAACATCCCAGTATTACTCAATTAACGACTTAAAATACATCGGCCATCACTTCCAGCTATGGTTAATCCAATATTTGGCGTAACGCCATCATCTGATATCATTGATGTGGTTTATAAATCACTCTCAACATGGTTGACGATATTTACAGTGACTCCAAACTGGACTTTCTAAAATGTTCATCTTCAAATCAGTCACAATCAATCACGATTTTTACTAATTTAGTTTTTCGTTTAGAGATTTGTTTTCTGCAAGTATAGTTTTTTCTGGAAATGGTAAGAAATAAAGATATCCAAACATTTGTTTCTCCTTACTTTTCAACTCGTCATGTAAAGTATTTTATTACTACATTTTTTAAATTCATAGTCATATAATTTCGTCTGTTTTATTGATAAGTATGGACATATTCACCATAGCTGATTATGTCATAAATTTGGTTACTTCTGTTCTCCTGTATAAAGTGAACTTAAATGATTGCTAGAAAGTGTTTTATAATTGTCTGCACAATTGAAATACACTATTTTCTACATATTTCTTATAAGAAATAATTTTGATGTCTCACACTAACCTTTGCTCATATGTGGCCATTTTATAGTTGGTCTCTTGTTGCATATAATAAATACAGCTCAAAATATATCTAAGTTTCATCTTAAATTGTACTAACTGTATTTAGTAATATGTTATTCAAAGAACTATTGATATTATGTTATTAAACTCGACAGTCTAATTGAATAAAGGAATTTCCATATTGATTTCTAAATCGAATAATATATATTTATATCTAAGCTGAATTAGGATTTTGTCTGTGACTGTGATCAGGTTCATTGTATTACACACACTTTCTCTTTCCTCAACAGTTAAAATAAGATGTTAGTTGGTGATTACTTATATGAGATATACATCACTTTTATGTATCTATTATCTATCAAGGTCAATTAGATAAGATTATTATGATAAACATTACAACATTAGGAAATAATTGTAATGCACAAATTTTAATAATACCGTTTACTTTTCCCATATAACTTTCATATTAAACCTTCACTATGAATGGCAATTAAAATGTAGTAAGTAGTTTTGAAATTGAATTTCGTACAATTATTATTCAGTAATTCCAAAACTATTATCTGTATTTCATGTGATTGCTTCATGAATATATATTGGCTCGATAAATTAAAATGTTCATTTTGCTTATTAGGTTAAACCAAATATTAATTGTTTGAACATCTTAACAATAGTGTCTACCTATGTAAAATGTAGAAAAAACTAGAGTCCACTTAAGTTTATAACTAATTAATAAAAGATTGAATGTTTCTACATTATAATTTACATTGATATTTTTATCACTGTGCAACCATAAATTTTGTCTTCAAACCTTATACATACATATGACAAAAAAGTCACTTTTAAGGAGCAAACATAATTCAACTTTATATCATTGTTTGTTTATTTCTCCCTTCTCTCAATTTCAGGTATATTGGCTGGACATGATAACCGTGTTAGTTGTTTAGGCGTGTCCGAAGATGGTATGGCAGTGTGCACAGGATCATGGGATAGTTTTTTGCGAATATGGAACTGATAGAAAAAAAAGAAAGAATTCAAATCATTTGTTTAAATGTGTGAATCTGTGCACTGTCAGTTTTTTTCTCTTGGTTTCCGATATTGTTGTTTCGTTTTTTGGCCAACAAAAATAAATAAATAAATATAGGATTGTAATCAATCTAATAATCCGAAAAAAGTTGTTTTCTTCCTTTTTTTATCACTGGTTGTTCCTTCTATCTCTCTCTCTCCCAGTTTTCACTTTTTTGTTTCTCACATACTAGAAACACAATTGCAGTTGACTTATTATTAATGAGGTAGTTTGTCAGAATTTCATTTTCCCATTCTTTTCTGTTTCTTTTTTACTGCTTTGAGTTTCACATTGCATAGTGAATGGGCTATGTGTGTCTGTGTATGTGCTTTCAAGCAAAGTAAGTGATCAAATCCTCTTATTATCTGAGTTTTTCTCAATCCAAGTGTTTTTCTTTTGGTCAACTTTTTTCAGAAGAGAGTTTACAATGTTGTAAGTCAATTAGTCAATTGTTTATTTCTTCTCCTACTACTCTCTTCTAGAGTATACTTTTTATTCAATATGTACAAGACATAAAATGTATTGAGTCTGTTGTCGAAAGAAGATTTAACTTAGTGCGTGTATGTGTAATTTCTCTATAATATTTTATGCTTGATTTCTATTCGCTCCAGCCTCTCCTGCATTTACTTCATAATATAGAAGAGATCTCTGTAATTTTTTTTTATCTATATGTTTGTGCGCTTATGTACTAACTTGAAGACATAATTAATGTATGCACTTAAGCGTCATATATATGAATATATATTTACGTATTTTTCTCCTGCAAATTACTAGAGATTTTTCAGTATCTGTTCGCTTTCATAATCATTTTTTCGGTTTGCCTTGAATTATACAACCTCTTGGATCTTGTACCTAGAGTGTTTTTATGTAGTACGAACACACAGTTTCCAGCATTTTTTCTCTCTCAACTAGTCGCTTTATGATTCCTGTAATCATTTCCTTTACAGTTATAGTCGTTAATTTGTAAAATTTAACATACTTGTTTATTTCTGGGCTGTTGTACTCATTTTTCTCTATTTGATGCATTTCTTATAAGTTTGCTTTGTGTTTTACAACAACTATTGCTGCTACCAACACTACCACCACCAAGTTCGTCTATTTGTTTATCTTTCAATCCACTAATGAATAATGCAACTTTGCTAGAATACAAATAAAAAAGACTGTTAAAAATGTTTAAATGCCCGGTTAAATTAAAAATAAAAAATCTATTGTGTATTTACAGTATATAATGTAGAGTGTATTTTATTTCAGAGGAAACTCCGGGTTATTGAATAGTGCTAGAAAGCAGTGATGATTATATAACAAAAAGAAGTTTGTAATTCATTAAATTCTTCATTGGAAACAAAACGTTAGTTGTATTCTTTTTGCCATATTAATATTACTATCTGTTTAACTTCGAGAATGTATTGTTTCATTTTTGTTTTCGATAGTTCCTGTGTGTTGTTCCCCATGATTTATGTAACAGAGGGCATACAAACAGAAGTCTTTTTTGACCTAGTCTTTACCCTTTTTCCCAATACTTAGAGGTTTTTTTCAATTTGAGTATTTTTTTTTCTTCTGTTGCACATTACGTTAGTCACTTCATTCTTTTATAGTATGATAACAAACTGGACTGCTTTTCCGGACAAAATTCATTGATACATTTAACAACAACAAATTTAATGCATTTGACAACACTTTATTTTAGGCTTCTTAACACGAATCGGTTATGGTGTGTTTCTTTATTCATGGAGTTGACTTTGTGTTTTCTGATCATCGATAATTGGTGGACGAGTTATTATCTGCCAATTTATTTTTCTTTTTATGTGTAAGACAAAACACCAAAACAAAATCCTATCAACCTGAGGTTGTTTTGTTTTGTAATGCATCAGGTTTTCGCATAATTACTCACATGTGTAATATTTTACAGAATTACACGTAAAAAATCGAGACTAATTCAATTGAAAAAAAAACAATTTTAGAACTTGTGATTTTATCTTTGTTCTTTGTCGTATTTCACTATGAAGTGTTTTATGCTTATGTTGGCAATAATAATGTTTGCAAACATCATTAGTAATACAAGTGATGTAGAACAAATTACTTTTGTTAATGCTTTTCACATAATACCGCTGCATGCTACTGTAGAAAATCTGGGAAGTAATCGGTCAGATGAAATATCATTACCAGATAGTTTTGAAAAAGTGAAAAAAACGTGTTAGTACCATGTTTGATTTTCATCTAACGAAATATTGTCCAACGAGGAGAGGGATTTTGAAATAATAAGGAAGAACCATAACTCAGTGGGGAGTTTATTGCTAGTAAATTGTCTTTCTATAATCTAGATCGTCTCATCATTAATTTTCTATGCAACGTTACTAATAGTACAAATCTAAACATACTTACTTATCAGAATTTCCCCTTATGATGACAATAGCTTATCCTGTCGGTATAAAATGTAGTTGGCTTTTATCACTGACTGAGTGTCACCATTTGGACAATTTTTCTATTAACCGATTTTTACTAATCTAGTAGATCATTATTTTTGCAGAAGTTTCAATTACTTACCAAGCATCACGAAAATGTCCACCTTAATGTGTGTTTGATATAAGTAATGTGGTTTCTAATAAAACCTCATTCTATTAGGACTGCTAAATTCTGAATACACAGAAAATTAGTGATTTTGACTATTAACTATCTATTAGAAGAAATTTCACACAACGTATTTTTTATTGGAAACGTCACAATATCTAACTATATTTACTCTAAAAATTAATTTGTTGACGCATATCAAATACATGACAATTTTAACAATGCAAAAGTAAGTTGGAATTAAGACTTTCTTTTTCATCAGGCAAGTAATCATTTGCTAATTAACAAGCAACTAGTGATCATACCAGTCAATGCATTTATGTGTATATTACTTACATACTTACACCTGTTACTCCCAATGGAGCATAGGCCGCCGACCAGCATTCTCCAACCCACTCTGTCCCGGGCCTTCTTTTCTAGTTCCATCCAATTGTTATTCATTTTTCTCACGTCTGTCTCCATTTCTCGGCGTAATGTGTTATTTGGTCTTCCTGTTCTCACTTACCATTGAGGATTCCAAGTGAGAGCATACCTTGTGACGCAGTTGGGTGCTTTCCTCAATGTTTACCCTATCCACTTCCAGCGCTTCTTCCTGATTTCTTCTTCCGTTGGAATCTGGTTTGTTCTCTCCCATATTAGGTTGTTGTTGACAGTGTCCGACCAATGAGTCAGAAGTATTTTGTGTAGACAACTGTTAATGAACACTTGTATCTTCTGGATGATGACCTTCGTAGTTCTCCAAGTTTCCGCCCCATACATTAGAATTGTCTTAACATTTTTATTGAAATTTCTGACCTTGGTGTTGGTTGACAATTGCTTTGAGTTCCAGATGTTCTTCTTGTGAATATGCTGCTCTTGCTTTACCGATCCGCGCCATCACATCTGCACCAGATCCACCGTGTTAATCAATGATGCTGCCCAAATATGTAAAGGTTTTTACATCTTCCAAATCTTCTCCGTCAATTGTGATTGGATTGGTGCATGCTGTGTTGAATCGGAGAATCTTGCTTTTCCCTTTGTGTATATTGAGACCTACTGCTGCTACACTGGTCATCTTCGCCTGCATTTGTTGTTGCGTGTGCGATAGAAGAGCCAGATCATCTGCGAAGTCTAGAAAGTCCAGCTGCATCCTATCTCTCCACTGTATTCTGTGCTTCCCTTCAGATTTTGACGTCTTCATGATCCAGTCGATCACCAGGAGAAAGAGAAAGGGTGAGAGTAAGCAACCCTGCCTGACACCGGTCTTTACTTCGAACGAGTTTGTCAACTGTCCTCCATGCACGATTTTGCAGTGTAATCCATCATAGGAATTCTGTATGATATTGACTATCTTCTGAGGTACGCCGTAGTGTCGAAGAAGCTTCCATAATGTTATTCTGTCAAATGCTTTCTCGTGATCAATGGAGTTGATGTAGAGTGATGAATTCCATTCAATTGATTGTTCCACAATGATCCGTAGAGTTGCGATTTGGTCTGTACACGATCTATCCTTACGGAATCCTGCCTGTTGGTCACGAAGTTGGGCGTCTACGCAGTTCTTCATCCTGTTTAACAATACCCTGTTGAAGACTTCTCCGGGTATTGAGTTAAGAGTGATGCCCCTGTAGTTATCACAGTTTCTGAGATCGCCATTCTTTGGTATATTGACCAGAAGTCATTTTTTCCAGACTGGTGGTACATGTTCTTCATCCCAAATCTTATTGAAGAGAATATGGAGTACCTTTGCAGTTACTGCTACGTCTGCTTTCAGTGCCTCTGCTGGAATGTTGTCTGGTCCTGTTGCTTTGCCACTCTTGATTTACCTGGTGGCCATGCTAATCTCCTCAATTGTTGGTGGGTCAGCATTGTTTGGGAGGTCCGTGGTTGCTGCTTCGATATTGGGTGGGTTCAGTGGAGCTGGTCGATTCAAGAGTTCTTTGAAGTGTTCTACCCACCTGTTTTGTTGCTCTTCAATGTTGGTGATTACCTCGCCTTCTTTGATTTTCACTGGTCGTTCTGGTTTACGGTGATTTCCACACAGTTTCTTTGTTGTGTCATACAGTTGCTTCATGTTTCCTTCTCTTGCAGCCTTTTCCGCCGTCATTGCTAAATCTTCCACATATTTACGTTCGCCAGTTCTAATGCTCCTCTTCACTTGTTTGTTTACTTCTGTGTATTCAGCTTGTGCCTTGCCTTTGATGCTCTTGTTCGACTGGTATTGATTGCTGCCTTCTTGTTCCTCCTCTCTTGAATCTTATCCAGTGTATCAATGGTGACCCATTCCTTGTGATAGTGGTTTTTGTGGCCCAGAATCTCATGACATGTTGAAGTGATTGGTTCTTTTGTCCCTTTCCAGTTGCTCTTCATATTATTTCCTTCTCCATTGAGTAGATCATGAAAGGCCTGGAACTTATTGCTGAGGACTATCTTGAATTTGTTAAGTTTATTAGTATCCCGAAGATAGGCCGTATTAAACTTTTGTGATATTGTCTGCCCCGTTGTGCAGTGCTTCTTGAGTTTCAATTTCACCTTGGTGATCAGCAAGTGATGATCTGATGCTATATCGGCTCCTCTCTTGGTTCTCATAACCTCCTGAACTTTTTGTTGATGTAGATATGGTCGATTTGGTTTTGCGTAGTGTGATCCGGTGAAGTCCATGTGATTTTGTGAATGCGCTTATGTGGGAATATAGTTCCGCCCATGACCAGTTTATTGAAGGCACATAGGTTTGCAAATCTCTCACCATTTTCGTTCCTTTCTTGCAGTACGTATGTATGTATATATATGAATTCGGTATTATACAGTTGCTCTCGTAAGTAACACTTGATTAAATTACTTACATAATCATTCAATAGAATGAATTTTAATATATATTAACTGGTAATTCGTCAGTAAGATTTAACAAATACTTCTTAAATATTATGATTTAATTTAAAGTGATTAGTAGAGACCATTGATAACATGATACCGCTATAATGTCTATTTCTTTATAAGGTAGTCATATATTTGAAGTACATTCAAATGAAGAATTATATTGATTTGTAATAACTGCGAATGTAACCTTTGATCAGGCAGATATTATTATTTCCTTGTATAAATCAACTTAATTTATCTATAATTGCTTGTTATTATAACATCTTTATATCTTCCTTTTTTTATTGTTGAAGAAATAGATTCTATTTTATAAACTATTTAATGTAACGATGTTTATCGTCTAGTTACATATTAGAAAATAGTTTTTCTTTACATTATGATGTTCAATTATAAATTTCTTTTCAGATTATTTGATAGTTATCTTTATTGAATAAACAAAACAAAAAAATTACATTAAAGGATTCTTACTATTATTGTTCTTAAGTTATCGATACTACTTAGTTATCAATTTCTCCAACCATTCCTATTTGTTGATTAAAGAGGAAAAAAAAATAAACAAACAAACAAATAAGAAATTACGAAATGGGTGTAACGTAAATCTATTACATTCAATATGATTTCATGTCTGTCAATTGAATATGAAAGAATTAGTTAAACAAATATTATATGCTTCAATAGTTAATAAAAATTTCTTCTCTCAACTATTATGTCAGTTGTAGTTTGTATTAAAGTAAATTTTAATTTAAGTATTTTATATTTAAAATAATAATTTTTAAGGTGTTATAATTTATTCCATAAAAAACAACAACAACAATGAAGCAAACAACTGAGCTAACCAAGATTATAAACATATTTAATGATGAATAGGTCAATTAATTCTATTCTTAATGTAAATTTGGAGCATAGTCAATTGTTTTTTTTTTCAATGAATGATATTAAAAAGGAAGTTTATATTGTAAATAAATGACTGAAGATTTCTCTAATGGGAACTGATCTAATTTGTTCGAGTAGACCAATAGTGATTTTGTCTCAGGTAAATAAACTATTCAAACCTAGTGTATAATTGTTAGCGGGACATAGACTGGATTAAAGCATGCTCAATGCACGATTGCCTTGCTGCACGCTGATTGGCTAATTCTTATCCAATCAGCACTAGGCGATAGTTGGAGAATACTCTAGAATCTTCTCATGTAAAAACTATAAATATGCTGACGTTTTCTCTATCGTGCTTCTGGCTTGCATCTTGCTTCCATCTAACCTTGTTATTTGGAATATAATCTTTTTCCTGTTCAACCGTGTTCTGATTTGGGGACTTATCGAGTGATTTGGTGTCCAAGACTACTAAGCAATAGGAATACCTGGGTAATAACCGTAAGAGAGAAATATAACAATAATGTAGGACATTTGTTATTGGTCTCTTTTTTTGTTTTTAAAGAAATTCAATTTTGTGGTGGTAATTGTTATTGAATTTAGAAATAAAAATCATTTTAGAGAATTTGTTCAACTACCAATTGAATAAAAATCTTGTCAACAGTTCTGTATATAAACAGTTTTATTGTATTGTTTGTAACTGTGAGATTAAATTATTCTTTTAAGATGTTTCAAATTTTCACCAGTAATCCACTTGGATTTATTCAAATATCTCAAGTGGAGGGCACACAACTAAGGTAGATAGAATAATAGTTGAAAGTCTTATGGTAAAGTAATATGCTTACACATTTTAAGACTCTTGCTATGTATGAATTTAGAATATCCATATAATAACTATTAGTGGAGATCAATTGAGAAAACACGTATTGATAATTGTAAATATATGTATAATAGTAATATGAAGTAGAAATTGTTTTGATTATTATTCAGTGAAGTTTTTAATGGATCAAACTATCATAGTTTTACTTGCTATACTCTTATTTATGAAATGTTTAGCTGTATTTAACTCGTTCATAGATACGGATCATATTTACTGATCACTTTGATTATTCAAAATAATCAATAAATCATTTCAAACATTAACGAAATAACCTCTCTAAAATTCCTATATTGTTTTGTATAAGAAAAATATTCCCTTAGTGTTCGTGTATTGATATATGAATCTTCATAAAAGAGTTTAGACTATTTAATTCTTTTGATAAATCTAAGTAAATCAATGAACAGAACTATGGTAATGTATTTACACAATACATATCGAGTAATCTGATTATAAATTGACTTGTTAATTTATTTATACGAAGATTAGGAAGGCATCAAACTAAATAAACTGGAACATAAAAATGAAAAAACATCATATCACTCTAAATATTAAACTGAGATCATTAATAACAGATTAAGTTTAATCTAAGTACTAATGATTTCTGAACATAAGTAGAGTTTGAATTTTCTGGTGGCTGAGACTACAACGAACCTTAATATTTCTCACTGTACAATAATACAAGGCAGAGTTGAACTCAATCCTACTAAATGTTTAGGGCTGGAAAGGGGTTATTATTTATAATTGGTTCTTATTGTTTTTTATTTGTTCTCGCTAACATATACGTATGTTTAGCTACCTTTACTTGCGAGTCATGATTACTCCTTCCCATGTTTATCTGTCCAAGCGTAGACACAAATTGGCAAACAATGGGGTATGGAGAAATCCTTTATATGCTGCTCTGGTTTTTGAAGAAACACAGACCTTGAGTTTTAGTAATAATAGTAGTACACTTTTTACTTTTTCTAGTACAATGATATTCGACTATGTGACATACCTTCAGTTTACGTGTCACAATAGTTGTAGTTTAGAATACACAAATAGATATATATTCTGCACCATTATTTCATGTAAAAGTTTCAACTTCAACAATATCGTTCCTGTATATATGACCAGTTATATAAGCCTAGTAAATAGGATCTCACTTTCTTATCTCGAGCTAAGTAAATCATATTGAAATTGGGAGGATATGCTATGTTTAGATAAGGCAATGAGATAAAGAATATTTTCAGAACTGTGTAATATATTAGCTTAATACATACCGAACTATCTAATCACAAATTTATTTCTAACATATTACACATGAAAACATATAAACGGTTGAACTTCATCTGAATATTTTCTGTATAAAATATTATTCGACATAAGTTTTATTCTTTGAACAAAATAGTTTTAAGTCAGTTCAGTCAGCAACAACGTAGAAATTCGTACGTACGTACATCAGTCCGAGTTGCCATACCACATTAGCACAGAAATACAATTGTCTATTCAAATACTATAGTAGTAGAGGTAGTAAAAGTATTAGCAGTAATCAGAAACATTAGGATTTGAAGATGTTAAGGAAGGAGTATAATTCAGTGAAATAAATTTGGAAAGAGAAAAAAGTGACATAAAGATTTCAGATTAGAATTTGGGAGAACACAAAAAGTGGATACACCTGCGCCATTGCAAATGATTTCGAGCCATGTCATTCAAGGTCTCTAACCATCGGTTGCGATCATCTCGCGGTCCCCAACCAGGTAGTCTACACCTACCAGAATGACTCAGTCCACTTGTCAGTGACTTCATGAATTTGTGCCATGTTTTGGTCTGGCCGCCCCTAGCTTTCTTACAATCTACTCCTATTCCACTGAACATCGCACGTCGAGGCAGTCGGTGGATGGGCATACGTAACACGTGTCCCAGCCATCTCAACTGATGAAGTTTCACTACTTCATCAATTGATTTGCCATCCTTACCTAGTACCCGTTTCCTAACAACTGTGTTACTTACTCGATGGTCCCAGGATATACGAGCAATGTTTCGAAGACACCTATGATCAAATACTAGTAGCCTACGGATATCCTCTACTCTTGCCGGCCATGTTTCACTGCCATAAAGTAGGACGAAACGAACTGCTGCGCAGTAAACACGTCCTTTGGTTGATAGACGGATATCTCGCCTACGCCATAAATGACGCAAGTTGGCAAAAGCTAGTCGAGCCTTCTGTATCCGTGCTGAGATTTCAACACACATTAGACCACAAGGGCTGATGAGACTTCCCAGATAAGTGGAGCGGTCGACACGCTGAACTACTCCACTCCCTATCATTAGTTCGGGTGTCAATGCAACCGAATCCTGAAGCAACATTTTGCATTTCGAGGGGGAGTATCGCATCCCGAACATGCTCGCATTGTTGCTTATAGTGGTCAGAAGACTGCATTTTGTCAGAGTCTTCACTAAACAGAACCATGTCATCAGCGTATTCTAAGTCAACAAGCGGATCTTCTGGTAAATGTCATTATCGTTTATTGAATGAACTGTAGTCCATATTT